TTCGTTTACAACGCTTTGTATACGAATATTCCGCTGCGGGGCGCTCGAAAAATTACGAACAATGTACCCGGGCATATTTCGTTCGCGATTTTTAGTAGTATTATTCGGTTTCGTCTGATAAATTATTCTACGTAAATATTATGTCGTAGGTACAACGGTAAATATGCATAAAAAATAATATTATATTTATATAGATAGCATTTTCCTTGCCCCCACCCCTCCCCGTTGTACTCCTGTGCCTCGTGTTTACCATCGTCATTATTGCGGTGTAATACATTTACACGATTTATATGTTTGTAATTCGGGTATATTATTATAATAACGCCTGATAATATTAATGCGATCATATTATTATATTGTAATATGATCACAAAAATAAGTCGAAATGTACGGTTTTTAAAACAATGACAGTTATTTCGGTCACTGATGCGTTTTTTTTTTTTCTTGCAAAGTAGAACTGCTCGTGTTAATTATGTTATGTATTAAGTATGCCTAACGTCATCTTGTATAATATAATTTCATTCACACAATCGTTTAAAAAATATGGTCGATGCGCCGTTTATTGTATTTACGGCCTCATAGGGATCGGCAAAATGGTTACATTATCTATATAAAATATAATGATATGCGAAATATAAAGAAGGTTTTTGAATTTTAAATATTGGTTTTTAAAATGGATAATTTTTTCTTTAGAAACGTATTTGAAATACAGAGTATTTTTTTTCGATTTGTAGATACTTAAAACGTTGATTATTCAGAAATTATTAATTATCATTATTGATATATATTAATAATAATATTATTTTTGTAAAAAGTTATTGTTTATTGCAAAAATGTCTAGAAAAAACGGGACATTTTGAAGGAGCTTTTCAGTTTTTGTCAACCACTCCCTCCACTGCACGCGTAGAAATTAAGACGTGTTTCATTTCCACCCGACTGATTTGTCAACTAGCCTACACACGATATGATATCGAATCTACATTTTTAATCAAAAATTCAATTGTTACAATTTTTTAATTTCTATATTTTTTAATTGTTTTACTATGATATATTGATGTGTGTGATTTCTTTTTGTGTCTGAAACCAACTTTTCTAAAAAAGACAAAAAAACATTTTTTATCATTTTCAATAGTTTCATTATTGTTGTGTAGTTTTGCTAGTAATTGGGAAAAACAAATAATATACGTTCCATTATTTTATATTTATTTTGTCGTAATTCAGTTACAAATGGTCGACAGATCTGACATTTTCACAGAATATTCATAATAGTCATTTATCGACGCGGTAAAATATTGGCGACTCTTGAGCAATTTGTAGGCATTTGAAAATTAATTTATGTGTGTGCAGCGCGGCGTGTGCATTTCAAGTGCTTACTGTATTGTTTATTATTGTAGTAACAATAAAATGAAATCACATTTTTTTACGTACATATATTTTACGGCACAATAAAATTGTGATCATTTATTTTGTTATTTTAGTTCTGTTTGATAATATCAAGTATAACACGCAAAAATCATATTCATAATATTGTTTGCCATTGTCATTATAATAAACTCGCATACTATAGTGGTGGCAAGTCTGTGTATTTTATCCGACCAGAGGGAGCAAACGGTAAGACATTTTATATTATAATACTTATTTTTGTTTTGGAAATCCGTTGGGGTCTCTGCTGTTTAAATTAACAACGTCCGTTATTATCAATATTATGTTAGCATTGAACGGAACGATGACAAACAAACCAATAATAAAACGATAACTTTTGATTTATTTTCAACGGGCGTGCTTGATAAACTCACTACAGTAAAAGTAGTAAATCCACTTTTTTACATTTCGTAGTTTATACACCTATAATACTCATGTTTGCATTATTATTATTATTATTATTTCACTCGGACAGAAAATTATAAATTTAAATTCGAATATTTTACCGGATTCGATAAACGTGACACAAGCATGAAGCAAGTATCCTATAAAGTACCTGTTTGCCGTTTATAATCAGCCAACTATAATATTATAACGTACATAAATAATACTATGCAACTTTTAGAACATGTTTTTACTTTTAAAAAGTTGAGTTTTCGAGGCGAAAAAAATATAATCATTGTAAAACGTGGTGTAATGCGCGACGTGCTTCAATTTAAAATACGGAAAACGATTATAAAAAAAAACATATTAATTATTTTTAAAATTTTTTATAACATAATACCGAGTGATTTTTTTGAAGTATAATATTATTTAAAACACGTATCCAAAAATGTGTAAATACTTTACAAGTCTCTTTATAATTAGAAATACTATGGCGGATTTGAATAGGTTTTTAAAAATAATATCGCGTTCTATATTATTCTTTTTCGTATGAAATTCGCGAGTGGTCACTGGTTATGGTCTGGCCGAATATTTGTATTATTAATTTCTCCTCGGTAGTCTATTTATCACTGCAGTAGTAATTACAGAAACTTTGAAGCAGGGGCTGTTACATTTTGCTTTATATTTGGTTTTGATTTCGCTATTATTCAACGTAAAAAAAGCGCACAAAAAAAAGAAAAAAAGGACGATTTTTGACAACACATTAACAAAATAAGAACGCGTTTTGAAAAGAAAAAATACATTTTAACAATAAACAACACGTTTTACATAAATATATATGAACAAAAATGAAAAATTCTAATTAGTACTAAACTGTTATATTTCACTTCTAGTTGTATTAATTGATATTATCATCAACTAAAAATATAATTTATAATATGATATGTCTATGTACTTATTGTACCTGTATCAATTTTGTTTTGATATCGAACATTGATAATATTATGTCGTATGATACATATAAAGTCATAGTTTTTGTTTTATGTAACCAGGAGTGGCACTAGGAGCTAGTGCCAACTTCTGGACGACAAGACCGGCCCAATAATAATTATTTCATTAGAAGGCATTAGAATATGTTTTTTCCCGGTACCCGCTACCCGATATTCGAAGGGGTTTTGCGGTTTCAGTTCCAGAATACGTTCTTTTCGTTTGTCCCTGCTCGGAAGCAGCGGTCAGCAATGATTGGTGGTGACTCGTCCTATTCAAATTAATCGAGACGCCGCAGTTGCGCACCACTGCTTTAAAATATATTGTACCATATTATTTCATGTATAATAATATTATAGTCGCTACGGAAACTATAGAACCATATTGTTAGTACTGTTATAGAACGTCAACAAATGATTGTAATATTATCGTTTTCGGCGTCTCCTAAAATCTCCTTGATCTCCGGCCTGTGACTGTGCCATGTGTGGCACGAAACGAGTCAACAATCGGTTTTTTTTTTTCATTTAAACGCTTTGTTCGGTGCTTCCTTCGAAAGAACTATACAAACGTATATAATACACACCGGACCGCCCGAGAACACTGCATAAACCCGTGTTTTGTGTACGTTTGAACGTTCAATAAAATTTTATCGCCGACAGAGATATAATATCAGTATTAGGATATTATCGTTTTAAACAATTTATAAAATATTCACGTAGACTTAATATTATTATTATTATTATCATCGTCATTGTACAAGAACCGATTACGCGCTATCGCGAGAAACAGAAATAATAATAATTCTGGGGGTATTGAACGACTAGGCAATAAAATAATAATAAATTAACCTTATAAATTATGTCAATGAGAATATTATTATAGCGTTTGAGGATGTACGCGTTAAACGAATAAAAAAAAAAAAACCGAAAATGAAACGGTTTTGTTTCGTAATAATATTATAGTCACACGCAGTGGTGAATTGAAGGGTATGCGCTATAGGTACCTATAAAATAATCCGTTGATTCATGTATACGGTAGCTAAAATTATGTAAATTAAAGATATACGTGAGCTTTTAATTTATTGTTACCATAAAATCGCAAAAAAAAAAAAAAGAAAAAAAGAAATACCTAAAAAATATTTATTTTATTGTATATTCTGTTCCAAAAGAAATCAGACCGATATTTTCAAGTTTAAAATGTATACTTTCATAGTGGACATCTTGCTGAATCTAATACTCACAGGTTATAATTCACATTGAAACCAAGCCTATATGTATACACCATTTTATCTAAATCGTGGTTCGATTGAATAATTCTTTCTTTTTTCTTTTCTTTTTTGTCACTGCAACCACCATTCTTCTCTTTTATCTGCTAATCTTTTCATTTCTTCATAATTTGTTAGAAGAGATTGTTAATATTTTACCATGTCTAGAAAAGGTAAATATAAGTTTTCTGTCAAAATGTCAAGTCTTTACGAATATTTGAAACTGAATTATATTAAAAAACAATTTTTAAAATAATAAAATAATTATTTTCGTAAATTTTCTAGTCTTTCTACGTATTTTTTCGGCTTTACGCAATTATTAAAAAAACTACAAATAAAATAAAATAACGACTTTTTTGGTCACCAACTATATTAATAATTCAACAAAAGAGGTCTCTTGTTGTTTTTTTATTGGAACAATATTTTTTGTAGTAAACATAGTCCATACAAATTTAAAATAAAGATTTCCAGCGCCGTAAATTTATCAGTTTTCATTTTTCGTCATTTTTTTTTTGTTTTTCCCAATTAGTATGAAAACTACTTGGAAAATCAAAAAGCGACCATCTTTGAGAGCATTTAGTTATACAATTATGTGAGAATAGTTGTATTGTTTTTTAGGGCATTTTTGATTTTTTAGATAATTGGTTTTTCTAATGCCCCACGTCACGTCATTTTTATTTTATAATAACTACGACGTGCGACGTATTTTTCATAGTATAATATAATAATAATATGATATTAAACATATTTCTGTGTGCGACAATAACTGACAGTGTCAATCTGATAGTGTCGTAACCTACTTATTATACTTACCTATACTGTTGTATTTTTTTTTTTTTTAATATTTGGGTAAAATAGAAAAGTTTATTTTGCCAAACATCATTTAGTAGGAAAATAACAACAAAAACAATTTTAATAATATCGACGACCATTAGAAAAAAAAATGAAAGTCTCAGCAGCGACGAGTGACGACGACGCGCGACGGTTGGCAGATTTTACAAATAATTTGTTAAATGTGAACAACTATTGTGCTTTTTATTACATTACACCCACGCTCACTTATCGTTTTCAATTTCTAACAGATTGTGCTGCAGCGTATTACGATAAATAATAGTATACAAATCCGGATATACATCACATTATGGGTAGGTCAAGGTTATAGTTGAGAAGTCGAGAAGATATTTTAATAATTTATTTTATACTACGCCTACTAAAAGCAACAATCAATCATAGCAATCGAACAATGATTGTGAGCAGAACTCGGTGAAATGTTAAGGTACTGCTATGTTTTTTCGCATATAGCCGAACAAGCCCGTTGTAATGTGGAGTATGCCACTTTATTAAAAAAGTGGTTTTTTTTTTTTTTTTAAAGTAATTATCGAAAATTATCATCGAAAAATGTTTTAAATAAGATACCACAAAACGGAAATCTACGTCTAAGATATTTGTGTGAAATAATGAAAGCATTATTTACTAACCGGAAAATGGTATTTCGTGATTACAAAAAAAAAATCACACATTTTAGTAAAAATATTTCGTATTATTAATAATATCTTCGCTACAATCGGAATGCAAAATGTGTGTATATTTGAAATGTAATATTCACTGTTCAGATTATTATAATTGAACTTCGAAAGAAATTCAAATAAATAATATTTATCGATATTTATCGAACAATACTAAACCCGTAAACTTTTTTACAAACAAAATATAATAACACAGATTTTTATAAGTCCAACACATTTACGCAAAAGTTCGTTCCGAATATAATTATTATTATTATTATACTCCCGTAGAGTGTGATTTTTAACGATTTTCCACGTCCATAGCATTATTGTGTCGTGCCAATTGCGTAAAATTCACCGTATTTGCGTATTTATTTTTTTTTTTTATATATATATATATATAATATTAATACACATCGCGTGCACATTTACGACCCCTCTGCAACAATCACAATGTGCGCGTATAATTTTCGTAGTTTCGTGTACTCTATTCCTACCTAATAATACAAAAGGTACGTGCGTTATACATAAATACTCAATTCCTGACCTAGTATAACGCGTTCTAATTATTTTCCCCACAAAAATAGCATCGGGTTTTATTACTTATAAAGAAAAAATCTGTTCGGGAGACCACGTATTGTTCGTATTCAGCCGTCGAATATTCATCAAATCCATATTAAATCCGTGTATCCATCTAGTACCAATATCATATGACTTTTCATCACTACATAATATAGGATTGTAAATTTAATACACTCAGAAAACTTTAAAACCTATAATTAAAATCGTTCCAAACAACTCCATAGCGCTGGCAGCCACATTTTGGAGACTCGACTCAAAAACCATACAAACGATATAACAATTATATTAAAAATTAAAAAAAAAAAAAACAAGTTGAGAAGGTAGAAATGGTAGGATGGGTGCAACATGATTGCGAACGAATATCGCTTATCAAAAAATTTTTTTTGGGGGTTACGTCGCTAAGTTTAAATAATGTACATATTTCTGAATATGTTTTATTCTATTCGGGGATTTAAACATTATAACATTAAACCTATATTACAAACTAAAATAAAATGATACAAAATTATAGTATTTAAAATGTTGATTAATTCAAATTTTTTTCTTGGTATGAATATTATACGACACGAATAATAATACTGTTCGACTACACGAATCCGAGCTGCTTTTCCATCAAATTAATATAAATTTAGGAAAAATATGATTGTGTAGGTTAATATTATATAATAATAATATAATGTATATATATTATATTATGGTATTCTACATCGTATCTTACCGCCCGGAGTAATAGCAGAAAACTATTGTTGGTTAACTTTATATAGTTTTATGATTTGATTTTATGAAAATAAATCAAAATTTGTACAAATAATATTAATTTCACTTATTTTATAAATTAAATTGTCAAATCAAATTTGGAAACGTCGCACGAAAAAAGACAGGTAAAAACGTTTGCAATCGTGCATCATTGGCGTATATAGAAATCAATTTGAGGGGAGGGGGTTATAAAAAAGCTTTTGGGTTTTAATTAATACACTTAATTACAGAAATAAATTCATAAATACTCACATGTGCCATATCAACCACAAATTTCGGGGGGGGGGGTTAAACCCTCCAAACCTTCCCTATACTTATATCTAGGGTAGGATCCATCACTAACAAAATACTATTCTGAGCGAAAGTCGGTTTCATGTTCGGTACATGTTTTGAAATGTAGTACATTCCTCACTCCGCTCATAATCAAAAAATATAAGTTTAAATATTGAGTTCATTATGTTTGGTACACAATTTGAATTTACAATAAGTTATAAAAAAAAAAGCATTTATCACAGTTATACAGCGTCGTAACGTTATTATCATGATAAAAACTATTATTCCTTAAACAATGTCCGACGCAAACGAATTAAATATCTAACAAAATGTAAATCGTAATACTTAACGTTGGTCGTAAATAAAAAAAAAAAAATTCGTTCAGTGAATTACAGTCTTCCAAATAATATTGGTCTTAGTTTCGGCGGTATAGGAAAACGGTTACTGGATTTCCACGCCCTTACTCTTAGAACTGTTAATTTGTAAAACTCTGCATATTTTCTATATGCAATTAAGGAAAATAGGTACTCTAGTAGGCGTCAATGAATATAATATATGTTATTATTATTGTTTATTTCTTCGAAAAGATAATGGGCCCCACTGAACAGGTTCGTGTGTGGGCCCGTGAGCTGACAATTTACCATATAACAAGGAAAATATTACATTCAAATAATAATTTAAATTTAAATTTTTATTTTACAATTTTAGACTTATGAAACTAACATAAACATATGCAATATAGGTAACAACAATTAATATACAGAGACTTAATGTATAATACGGTTTGATAAAATACAAATGCAAGCAACTAGATTAAAGATAAACAAATAAAGTTTTAAATTTGGTTCATTTTTCAGCCAGTTAGTCATTATTTTTTTTTAAAGTATTAAACGATAGAATTGTTTTGAAGTCTAATGGTAGTATATTATTTATTTTCGGTCCTATATATAAGTAAGTAGATGGAGTTAGTTTTCTGTGCATTAAGGGAACAGTAATGCTTGATAGTTGTCTTGTGTTATATCCATGATCAATACTAAGTGTTGGGTTATTTTAAACTATATAAATTACTAATGCCTTATAGAACAATTGTTTTAATGGTAGAACATTTAATTCTTTGAACAGATATTCTGTGTGATACAAATGATTCTTTTTTAAAATAATTTGTATTGTTGTATTTTGTATTTGTATTATTTTTAATGGATTTAGTGTTGAATTATAGACACCTTCCCAATAGTAATACCATTGTTAATTATGGATTCTACTTGAGTTTGGTATACAATTCTAATTTTCTTAATTTCAAGTAAATTAGCTAAATTTTTGAAAGTATAGATTATTTTTCTTAGTTTTATCGTCGTCTGTTTAATATGGTCTGCTATTTGAGGTTATGACACATTTCAATGCCTAAGTATTCACAAGATTTTACTAATTTTAATGAAGTTTGATATGTACAAGATTTTAGATTCGAGCATTTGTGTTCGTGTATATACAGGCTGATCATATCTGGTTGGTTTGAATTAGTTATATAGTGTGGTAATAAATAAGTTTTATCTAAAATTAAGAATAGTTTTTCGCACATAACCAAATACTGATTTTTCTCAGATCATCTTGTATGGATAAAAATACCTCGTCCCAAGACATAACAGACTAGTTTACCATGTACCTTTAAATCGTTTATTTGGTTAATTTGAATATTAAATAGGGGAAACAAATTAATATAGTATAATATAGTTAAAGGAAACAAATTAAACCATATTTTAAGAACCTATAGTTACTGTACTATAGTAATTTAGGTATACTATTTGAAGATAGTTAGTCGGTAATCAATACTATTTGATAACACGCACTACACTTACCGATTATTTTTTAAAATATCAATAGTTTGGTGATTTCATTAACCTATTTCATCACCAAAACCGTAAAACACCGCGATATGATATTTTATCGAATAAACAATTTTAAAAATAGATTATAACATGTTGATTTTTTTTAAAAAGAAATCATAATAAATTCTTTTGAATCGAATTTTTTAGTTTTAATAATACGATTCATACAACTGTTATGAACGTGCCAATTTTGATAATTCGTTATTGTTATTGTTTCAGTATAATAACAGAAATAACTATAATACTATTTTTTTTTTCTAGATGTCATAGAATGGAGCGAATATGGAGGCTGCTGCAAGCGGCTTCCTTTCTCGTGCCGTTACTGCAAAGCGTGTTATCGGACAGTTCGGACGTGTGAGTAAAAAAATTCAATGTTTATAATAATTTATTCATGGTTGCAAAAAAAAAAAAAAAAAAAAAAATCGAACACGATAAAGTTTTACAAATATTATAATAATATATACAAGCCAAACCAAACATTACATATTATTATTTATTATGATGACGATAATATTTTACCTTTTATTAAAAACAGTGTTTAGATTCTGAGCATAGTTAGTAATTTATTGATTTTACTATGTGATGTGAGATTTTTTTTTTCTATCCATAAATAACTTTTCGATAAGAAATCTCATTCTTAATTTCTGATCATAAACTTCAAGGGTGACTTTTATAGTGCATTTTGTTAAATTGGTGTAACTGGTGCATTGACGAGATTGTTATTCGATTTTCTTTGTACAAGAGTAATTTTATTATTTTAATAATGGAGGGGAAATCGTAGAAAAAACATCGTAAAAACGGGTATATTCACGTCATAGCGGTTTCCATTATATACATTATTTACATTATATAGTCATAATGAATATATTATTTGAATAGGTTCGAGAATGGAAAATCGGACAAAGAAATATTGGATAACTTGGTGAACCAAAACAGATATGACAAACGTTTGTTACCACCCGTGGACGGTACGTATACAATTTTTTTGCCCCATACAATATTAATAACGAGGATTAGATTTACAAGGTGCTCGGTAAAATGAACCGGAGAAAAAAAAGAACGGTCGTGGTGCCATCATTCATGCGAAATTAAATTAATATAATTTCATTATCAATAATGACTGAAACTTTAAGATATTGTTTTCGTATATGTATTGTTGAAGACAGCAAATTTATTTTAAATACAATTACCAAAATACAACTAAAGGAACTAATATTTCATAAAAAATGAATTGTCATTTAGACAACATTCATAAAACTACTCGAAATCCCAAAAATTATCGAAGTACAACATTTTGAATATATATTATACATAAAATATAATAAATATTAACATATTGTTAAAAATGTCACAAAACTACGCTATATTGAAAAATGGAATAAATGATATAAAGATGCAAAAAAAAAAAAAAATACATAGGTAATAAATTATTACCTTTGTATGTGCAATATGTATTACTAACAATAAAATGGAAAATGTCAAAATTAAAATTTTAAAATAAATTTGGTTTTAACTTTGCGTACTTTTCTAGTCTTAGGTACAATAAACTTTAAAACTATGTATGCATTTCTTTACAAACTCAAATTGAAAACATTATATTATAATAAAAACTATTTTTCTTTGTTTCAAAATATATTACAACTTATAAATTGTATGAATGAAAAAAAATCCATATTAACACCTATCGGAATCCTGTACCGATCTCAACTCATTTTCGGCTATTTATTTACGCAAACAACACTGTTTGGTAATTGTTTAAATAAAATTCACTCAATGTCAAAAATTAATTTCGTAAATAATCTATGGATTTTATAAATAGGCATTTTTTTATCTTTATTAATGATTTCATTAAACATTTATGATTTATGTGCTCGTAAAAAACTACAAATAAAATAACAATTAGTCAAAATGTCAATTTCCTATATAATATAGTACCTATATTATCACGTGAAAAATAAATTATATCTATTGGAGTATTTTTTTACTGCAAAATTAAAATTTTTAGGATTTTTTTTAAAATTTTCAGGAAAGATTCATGACTCGAGTTGAATATTTTAAATTCTATATCTCTATATAATATAAACTAGTATCTACCTTGGGCTACTTAATCATCATATTTTAGTATTTCCATCATCATTGTAACATAGTTAAACGATAGAAATCGTAAATGTATAAAATTGGTCACGTGCTGATATTGTATTAATTTTCACCGAATAAAAACCCGAAGGTTACACGATGGTCGTTTTATAGATCAAGATTTTTGCTGTGGGATGAAAACTCCTCAAGATTTGAGAGTGATACTGCCGTCGGCCAACAAACATCCTATTCGAAAAGGTAATAGTTACGAATACGAGTAAATTGTACGCTGAAAGCGTTCAGAGTTCATATTGCTGAATAAAAACGTTCGTGTTTTCAGGGCCTTTATTAGTAAACGTCAGCGTACTGTTACTGAGCCTGGCCTCGCCCGATGAGTCAAGTCTGGTAAAAAAACACAATAAATCATTATACACATTGCGTTTTTTTAGTCATCTATATAGGTACTAATAATTTTTAATAACTCACATTTTTCGTTCGTGTTTTGTCAATACCTATAGAAATACGAGGTGGAGTTTTTACTGCAGCAACAGTGGTACGACCCTCGTTTACGGTATTCGAACCAGAGTAGATACGATTTTCTAAATGCCATTCACCACCATGGAGACATTTGGCTACCGGACACGTATTTCATCATGCACGGCGATTTCAAAGCTTCGCTAATACCGGTACACTTTTCGCTGAGGATTTACAGAAACGGCAGTGTACATTATTTAATGAGGTGAAAATTTATACCCATAGTGTATAACTGAATAATGTATATGTATAATTCGTGAAATACTACGTAGGTCAAAAAGAATATTTTATAATTACAAATGGTCAAATAAAATATTGTTGTTAAATATCTACATGGGCGAGAAAAAAGTAAACTACCATAAAATGAACATTTTTCTAAAAGTCGATGTAACAGGAAAAAATTCGGGTCGGACATTTCGGCGTGGCCATCTCGGCGTGAGTCAATTTCGGCGTAAAGATTTTTTTATAAAATTATTTTAATCAATAATATATAATATAAAATAGTAGATAAAATAATGATTTTAAGCAGTATAATATAATAAAATATAATTTTTCATTATGAGTTTTTTAAGAGGAATAGTATATAATTTTAGTATGATAAATTAAGTATTATATCTATAGGTTACCTAATTATATTATTATTTTATATTTTTATATTACATATATTATAATTTATCAGTATATGAATATTTATATTTTTATTGTATACGGCATTACTACTATAATATAAATTAAAAATGACAATGAATATAATATGTTTAAATAAAAAAACTATAAATTCTATTAAATAACAAATTTTAACTTGTAAATAAACATCAAAATGGCCCTACGCCGAAATGTCCTAGATCGAAAAAAATTAATGTTTTAAACATTTCAATAAAACCTATAAGGTACATAATCATGCCAATTGCGACAATTTATTATAAAAAAAATTATTTAACAACCATAATACAAATATAGTGTATACCTATAAAATATAATACTTAAGTAAATTAAAAATTATTATCTAAATTACATAAGTGATTACTTCGTTTTCTTATCCTAAGTACGGCCAGATATTTCATAAATTAAAATAATAAATTAAGAGTTAAGTCTAATAACAAAATGATCAAATGTTACCAAAGGTGATATTTTAAATTTAGTACCGATGTATACTCAAATATATTCCACTAAAATCTGTTTGAATCGGTGACAGTAATAAATTCATAATTTATGATTGGATTTGATGTTCGATAGTAGAACCTACTATACGTAATATAGATGGCCCGTGGTTTTTAATGGAATTTCGGATCGTACTATAATATACCTAACTCTGTAATATAATATAGTGTCAATCAAAAATTATATCAGTTTGTACAGCATTTAATTTCTGTTGTCACACGTCAGCTTTTAGAAACGTGTTAATGTTGCTGCAGTTTATCACCTACTAACGTACGGAAAAATAATGAAATAATATGTTGTAAAAACTTACTCCGTATACAGAGTGATACATTCATATATCGCGAACCATCAGTGATTTTTTTATGAAGATTATGAATACATTTGATTTTGCTGTTTTTTTTTCATATCATTATTTGGCAAATCCAATATCACGTTTATGCGTGTTTTCGTTTTGTTATTTAAACGAAATAGGTTATGTTATATTATAATATATGTTTTTTTTTCATTCCGAGGGGCAGTTATTATAGTTAAAATTAATGGCACTTTCGTTCAAATTACGGGCTACTAAACCACGATTAACGTTATAAAATAAAACAAAATTATACTATACGCAGTATGCACTAATAAAAGTGTGTACATACTGACGATGTAAATGAGTTGCCACTTGGCCAGTTATAAAAACAAAACAAAAACCAACGAAAAGGTGCACTTTAAAACAAACTTATAAAAACTATTAGAGCTGTGACTTTAATGCTGAATAAAAATAATGATTTCAAAAAACATTTTAAAACCCAAAAAGTCAACTAAAAGTGGACTTAGAAATAAAAATATAAAATAAATGTGGAATAATAAATGCATTTAAAATGTCAATAAAAAATCCACTGGAATTCAGTAAAACGCAATATTTCGAAATGATAATAATACATATTAATACATCTTATATTATAAATTCATGAATATTTTTTAAATAATGAAATGTCAGAACTTTAAGTACGTGCGAATAGCCTGTATGAAATATTAAAACATTACACTATGTACCTATGTTAACGTTACGTAAAAATATTTATGAAAATACCAATAAATTTCGAAAAAGCAAAATAAAAGTGTCAAACCTGAGTTCGTTGTTACATATAATTTGAAGTTTAGAGTTTATCCTTATAATAAAGCATAATATCTTTCAGGAATCTCAAAATTAATTTTTTATAAATTCGCAGCTCAAATAGTAACAATTACAAGTGTATATTTTTTCTATATAAAAATAAATAGATAATATCATATATAAACGGGTTTTTTTTTTGTTTTTTACATTTTCACGTAATCAATAGTTTTATAGCATTCAAGTTACCGATTTCACGTACACGGTGATGATTATTACTTGGCACATGCTGTTTTTCTGCTGATTTTACTGAATCGACAAATTCACTAATTTGATGTAAAATATTTATAATTTACATACAAATAAAATGAAAATGTTTTCAGGCGCCATTTGATACTGTCATGCCAGGGTATATTGAACATATTTCCGTTCGACGATCCGCAGTGCACGTTTTCGATGGAAAGCAGTAAATATCCTTCAATATACATTATAACAAACTTTAACATAAATGTTAAAAATATTTATAACAATATTAGCAGGACGTTCGACGTGTATTTATCGTCTGACGATAAGTCAAAGATTAGTTTTTGTATTTTCAACAGTACTGAGGCCTCATTGGTCTTGATTTTTGTGCCAAAATAAATATTAAAAGTTGTTTAAAACAATTTATTAATTATTTTTTTGCTAGACCAATTTTATTTGCGTTTTAAAAATATAAAAAAATAATATAAAATGTGTGGACGATATATAAAAAAAAATGTTCTATATAGATATGTTTCTAATAAAACTTCTCATGCCAATCTTGACATCAAAATCAAGCTTATACGGCCAACAATACCTGAGTACTGTTGGAAGTACGTAAACACATTTTTGCTATGTTTCCATATAGACAAGTAGACAAAGACGGTAAATTCATTCACATCTACTATTTCAAACTAACCTTAACTAACTTTAACTAACGGGAAACACGGACAAATTAGTTGATTTACATAGAACATTAATTGTTGTGTTTAAAATGAAATGAAAATTTAACACAAATACAAAAATTTAAAAAGGGGAATATTTTCGAGGAAGTGAGTCGCTGTTTTTCTGAAAAAAAGTTTAAAAAATACAGCTAATTAATAATAACTAATGTGCAGACTGTTAAACAGAAACGTATATTGACTCCGAAAATATGATTGCTTCTTATGTCTATCAAGTTGTCACCGGCACATTATGCTAGGGCTTTACAACTAATATTAACATTTTGCTAGGAAATTTTTGGATTTTGCTTGGGCTCCTAAACATCGGAAATTCACATACAAACATGCCGGTGTTATCGTTGTGGCTGCTTCAGCATGTTGCTTGATTCCAAAAAAAATTATGTCAATTTATTCAGAGGAATTTGCTAGATTTTGTCATACTACTTTTAAGTTTACGCTCTACTCTCCCTCGACCAAAACTTGAAATTTAGGTTAGGTTATGTCAACGGATCGACAAAAATCAAAATGTCAACACCAAAATTAATTTTAACTAATACTCCATCTATTTATGGAATTTTTAATATAGGTTGCCTTTTGAAATATAATAGTAGATAGTGATTTTACCCCCAAAAATAAGGGCGACAAAAAGTTAAGGAAACTTAATAAGATCCAAAAATGTCTAAGCAAAACAAAATTTTGATACTAATTGTTTAGTCCTAGCATAATATGTTGGCGCCAACTTGCCGGATATTCGTATATTTATTTTTTATCATTTTGTATTTAAATTCTATGATTTTAACCTAAACGCCTGCATAATATGTGTTCTACGGTAAGTAATGGAATTATTTTTACTATGTCGCCCGTTAGACCTAGATTGTTAATTCGGGTGTGCCGACATTTTTTTATGTTGAGGCCTTTTAATAATTTTCACTCGTATTATAAATATTAACCTATTTATTATACTATTATGTCCTTTATTAAGAGTTCTTTAATTTTTTTTAAATTATACGATTAACAATGCATTATTACAATTTTCTCTTTTTTTTAAGTTTTATTAGTTTTTATCAGTAAGTTATTTTAACTATTACAAATTGTTTATAAAATAATTAACGATACAATGTATCATTACAAATTTCTCGTAGAAATATTATATATTAAATTATTCCTATGTTCTACAGAACGTTAACATTTCTTGTTTTATTTTTCGCAAATTTATTTATTACTACATCGTAGTCCAAGTTTGAAGCTACATATTTTTTAATAAATAATATTGCAAGTGAAGTTAGTCTTTCTTGAGTCAACGATGTCCTTAAATATGATTTTATAAGTTTTAATCTAGAAAAAGATCGTTCAGTACTGGTTACATTTATTGGAATAGTTAGTAACCTATATTCTGTAGAATATAGTAGCATTGGGAACTGGATTCTGAAGATCTATTATTAAAAATTTAAATATTTCGATTGATTATTAAATTATTCAGGCATTATTTGTTTGGGAATTTTTAACTCAGAATAAAGTTCTGCGATAAAATACTTAGAGAAATGAAATAGTCAAGCCAAATAGGTATAATTGTATAAACAAGATACAAATATCATAAATATACTGTTCTGTGATAAAAATATAACTATATATATTATATTATGGCATCGGGCCATGAGGCCTTGTTTATACTTGTAGTAAAAGTAAAATAATATAATATAATTAATACTTACTACAAAACTAGAAGGAAAATCTGAATTGAATAAATTACTATTCATTCCCAGGTGAAGTTTACAATTTTTAAATTTTAATATTTAATTTCGTTAACGCAAAGCCAAAATTGTTATACAAATTTATGAGGCTCGGGGCAACCTTGCCGGACCCGGCTGGTCCCTACCTAAGATCGGTTCTGTGCACTGCAGTGCTTAATGAAATTTATTTTTAAGAGACGATAAAGTCGTAAAATTTACGATTAGTACTACAAGTATAACGTTATTATTATATCATAACGATTACAATATGTTCTTCTGATTGTATAATATATACTAATATTTATAGTATCCTACGAAATGTCGGCAATAAAATACGTGTGGAAAAACGACGAGAGTACATTAAAGAAATCACCGTCGTTGAAGACTTTGAACGCATACTTGGATCGAAATCACACGACCGAATGCCCGTCTACCGGTAGTTGGAGAGGTCAGTATATTATTATACATAATAATAATATAGTATAACACGAATACAATGTTGATGTCTAATCAGTGGGAGGTATGTACGGTGGTAGATTAAGAAGATATATTTTCACCCCTTAATCATATTTTCAGGATCTATTATTTGTATGGCTATTTTTTTAAATATACATTTCATTACATTTTAGTAAGAAAAATCAATATTTCAATGTGTTTGTATCTATTATCTCTATGGTTAATATATTAAAGAAAACCCGAACGTATAAGTATATATTCGCGTGTTAATAACGAAACCAATTCGAACCGAAATACTAATTAAAACATAAGATTAGACTATTACCTGAATAGTAAATAATAACATATATCTAATTATTCAATTTCTATTATCATTAGGCGGATTGAATTATAAATTATAACTTACAAAAATGTGTAAAAATCATCAAAAATTGATATTTGTTTTCAGCCTGAGTCCTCGTTATAGAACATAACATATTTCCAAACTCAATATCTCTTTCCTTGAAAAAATCCTAAACATGTCAGTGTGTCTTATAATATTATGAATTATATTGTCTAACCGATAATTTAAAAAAAAAACCTTAATAGCGCGTTTTTAGCATTATAGCGGAACACGAGATTGTAATCTATCGGGATGCTGTCAATGAATTATTAACAATATTATGACCATAGTCAAAGAACAGCGTTAGTTTTAATATTAGACTAAGTACATGAAAATAAAATTTATTACTTAAAAGAACAATAATTTTTGCTAAACTTAAAATTTTTATGAGAGTTGTGAAAAAATCGAAACTATAGAACCGCATAATTTTAGATCCCTGGAGCAGACCGAGAACGGAGTTACCTACTCATATATTATACTTATACGTTTCTTTTATGTATATATTCTATTATAATATAATGTATATTTTTTTCCTTGGTTATACCACATACGTTTTGGAGGACGTGGTAAACATTACATTTCAAAATGTTTTATGTGGCAATTTTCAAAGATATTAATATAGGTAATTCACCACGTGACAGTCTGTATATTCGAATGAGGTTATTTTATTTTTTATGTATAATAATAATACGATACATAATAGAATCGGCATAAGTCGTTTCAAACTCAATTTTCCCCTGCAAAAGTAGTTTGGGCGTTTAATGCGTTTAGGCAAAAAATGTTATTATTGTTAATACACCTTGATCGGTCCCCAATATTAATTATATTTCTAATAACCTGTTTAGTGTTTACACTCGTAATATTTATGCCGATAAGTTTTATCACCAGACTTTAAATAAAGTATTGGGAGGAATACACCTTCGATAGGAAAGAGACGTAATGTCCAGGCGTAAATCCACAGTCGTAGCGATATGACTTGGTCCGAAATACAATAAATAAACGTTTGCTGTTACATCGAGAGAACGCATTAGTAAAGTTTTACCTACTACACGGATACTGATAATATATTTTAGACGTATCATTTATCAAGTTCTTTTAAAACCGTTTTGTTAATTTAAAAAAAAAAAAAAAAAAAACATTTCTAAAAAAAAACTTTTGATAAACTATGTAGAAAAACTGTTTGAAATATTAAAAAGTACTTACCTTCAGACGGAAAATCCTCATCATATTTTAACTAAGGCACCTACGTGTACGGTATGAAAGTTTTAAAGCAGTTTTATTTTTTACTAACCGTGAAAAAAAAATACACTTTGGCTTAGAGTTTTAGACGGTAATAAATACTAACATGAAGGGTTCAAAATTTAACTTTACATTTTATATTCAGTAAAATGGTTTCTCGAACGCGATAATTTTAAACATATTATTGAGATAGGTACTTCTGCAGTTAACAGACTATCACGATAGATTCGCTTCCAGAATAATCAGATACCATCAATTAAACATCGGGTAGTTATGTTGCACCTATACAGTTTCTAGTTTTACTGTATATTAAATTATTATTAGGCTATAAAAAAAATATATGGTTCGTTTTCGTATAGTAAATCTATAATGAAACGTTTTAATTTAATACAATTGTTAAAGAATTATTAAGTCCTACAGTTGGATTACGTCCCATGGATTTAGGTACCTACCTACCATATAGAAAACTAATTTATAATAATATACAGTTTGTATATACAAATATAAATGTATAAATATTAATCATTCTTGGATAAGTACGTACAGACAGTCATAATTATATTATAAATACAATTAATAACACATATAATGCATCTAATCAAATAAGTAAATTATATAAATAAAATAAATTAATTATCAAAATAAAAATGTATAATTTATTATACAGGCTGATGCATATAACACATTACAATAATATAGGTATACTATTAAAAACTATAAACCTAATATAAGTACTTAGTACCTATACTGTATCTAATACATTTTTGTATTATTATTTTTGAAACGTATACTTAACAAACATATTTTATCAATGTAATCATTACTTTTATTTCTATTTGAAAAAGATTTATCTTCAAACAGGGCCAAAGGCGTATTTAGGAGTAACTAAAAGATGTGACCGTCGAGTGGCATTTTTAAACTTAACGTTAATATCATTAAAATTTGTGATCTCGCCTCTCAATTATGGTTTATAATATTGTTATTATTATTATAACTTTTATTTTGTGTTATCTCATTATCATAATCGAACTGAAAAATGAAAAGTGTTCAATTTTAAAATTATATCACGACCTTAGATAGATAATATAAATTTAGGTACAGTGTAATCAGAGCTATACTAAGCCATTTGGCACCCGGCGACATTAATATTTGAAACCCCCTTCTTAAGATCTTAACTGGGGATAATTTAGTGGGTAATCACATTCGAATTTGTTGTTTTTATAAAATTGTATTAAAATCATATTAAAATTTTAAAAGTTTACTTTTAACAATGAAGATTCTTCCTTATCGAAACGATATTCGTTATTCCTCTAAGCAAAGCGTTTGAAAGTAAAACAAATAACAAGTCATGATATAATAATAGTGATAATATAAATTTTATATTTACCTGGGCGCCTCATAGTTTTAGAAAAGTTTGGTGCTTCGAGAAAAATACCCCCATTGCCCCCCCCTTTTATCACGGCTCTGAGTGTAATACTTAATTTATGGGTTAGTATTGAGTGATTAAATAATTTCCATATATATATATTCTACACGCCATACAACAGTTATATTGGGCAGTTCAATAAATTAGTTAAAAAAACTAAGTGTTAATTTACGCTGCTGCCAGTTCAATATGTCTTTGAACAGTGCACCTGTACTGTTATTCGTGCAATATATATGTATACGTGTATAACATTGAGTACATTTATTTATTTATTTTATTACAATATAGGAAACTATAGCTGTCTTCAAGTGGACTTGATTTTCACCAGAGACCGAGCGTTTTATTTCACTACGGTATTCATACCGGGCATAATATTGGTGACTTCGTCGTTCATAACGTTCTTCCTCGAATGGAATGCAGTGCCGGCAAGAGTTATGATAGGTATTTTGTTTTAATACGCCATGGACATTATATTACAATATTCTCAGTGTTTAATTATTTATGCGTGCATAGGCAATGGTTAGAACAGTCCCGAAATTAAATATATAATTTTTTAAAACTTTAATATATTTTATATACTTGTGCTAAAATCGTGATTGTCTAAAAAAAGATCTCATATTTGAAAATCGTTACCAACATTTATTTGTTTGTTTAATTAAAATAAGAAGTATTACAATAAGCGTTGAATAAATTAAAAATAATCCAAATACGCGTGCATACGATAGTTCATAAATAATTTACAGATTGTGGCCAATGATTGTAATACTGTTCTAAATTAAAACGTATTATTTTGTTACATATAAATATTTATGCGGTCCTATTATTTTGTTGTCGATAATTTTAAATTATGAATTCATCAAAGATTTTTAGTGATCCAATTTCGTTTAATTTTTACCAATAACGCTCGATTCTATTAATTCTATAAGATTAATACAATGCAATAATACAAATAAAATTCTATTTGTATTGTGTTTCACGGTACATTTATTTACCGTTTGATTTACAAATAATTTAAATGGGTTTTTAATATTAATAAATACGTTTTATATTTGGTTTAAAAATAATAACATTGTCATTTTTTGGATATTTAAAATCGTGTAGCGAAATATAAACAATTTTTACATAAATATCGATTGTTTTTAAATTGTTTGGTAATTTTTTACGTAATTTATAGGGTGATTAATTTTTTGTTGAACACTCATTATTTCTCAAAGTAGACTTTTAAAGAAAAAAAAAAAAAATAAATAATGTTTTAAAAATTTAAGAAACAGGCTAAAATTTTACATTAAGTACTATTGCTTTTTATCCTTTTTGTTTTAGGGTGAAACGACTAACAATTTTTGATTTCAAACCCGATAAACGGGTTCACGGAAATCAAAAATGTCAACAATTAAATTTATTTAAACAAATACTCTATCTATACATGGGACTTTTAATATAGGTCACCATTTGAAAATCAAAAGTTGGTAGTCGTTCAACCCCCAAAAATATGGTTGACAAAAAACAATGTTAATGTAAAATTCTAGATCTACTTGTTTCTTAAATTGTAAAAAACTTTTTTTGGAAAAAATTAATATTTTGTGAAATAATAAGTGTTTAACGATAAAAAAATCACCTTATATAATAGTTTTGTTTTTTTTAAATCAAAGTAACACTCAACGGAGTACCTATTAAAGTCTCTAAAGATGTTTTTGTAAGGATAGTGACTTTCTTACAAGTTATTTTTGACTTTAAAACAGATAATAAACGATTTTTGTTTGTTTCGTTTTTAGTATATCTATCCATGCTGTTTTTTTCTCGATACAGGAGTGACTACAATGTTGAATTTTTTCACCACGTCAAACGGTTTCCGAAGTACCTTGCCGGTGGTGTCCAATTTGACGGCCATGAACGTTTGGGACGGCGTGTGTATGTGTTGTATTTACGCCAGTTTATTGGAGTTCGTATTGGTAAACTACGTCGGACGGAAACGTTCGGACTGGCCAATGCCCATCGTGTACAAAGACCGAGACTACCAGCAAATAGCGCAAGTACGTTTGGTTTTTAGAAAAAAAAAAAACAAATACACCGGGTTGCCGGTGAGCATTAAATACTCGCAAATAGGTTTAGTTAAGAAATTAATTTTTTTTTTCGTTGACTTCACTAGCTAAGTGTTCATTATTGTATAAATTTGACTCTTTTAAGTTAATACGTACTCTTGACTGCGATAGGTACGGATGAAAAATATCTAAAAATTAATATTAAGAACTTATAGGCTATAATAATACACTAAAAATGCCTATATCGTATAAAGATATGGACAATAAATAAATCAAATTACCTAAATTTAAAAAAAAAAAAAAATGCGAAAAAAAGGAAATACAGCGGAAATTTCACCTTTTAAGTACTTTAAAATATACGTATACCATCTATAACACGAATCGAATTATATAATTGGAACGCAGTACAGTCGTAGAAATTAGAACAACTAAATAAATTGCATCTTGCAGTGCCTGTAATTTCGGTGACATAATTTATAATGTACTTCTCAGTTCCCAATTAACGTAAACCCAATCGTTTCACATACTCATAATTGATTTTAGCATAATATTATAATCATCATCAAATAATATAAAAAGAAAAATATATTAATGAATAATAATAGAATTAGAAAAATAATTAGAATTGGATAATTTTGAACGAGTTAATCTACAGATCTAGATGTAGGTATTTGTGAAATATTAATTATCATTTATCAGGTAATCAGTAAGAATCGGTTTTTTTCTTTCTTATCCCAGCTACAGTTTAATTTCAAAATATTAACATTTAATTAATAACTGCATCAGTCATGCGAAGTACAATATTAATTTATTGATACTGTATTGTATAAATATTTATCAATTTATTAGTCATAGATATTAATTTATTTTTATAGAATATCTAACGCATTATTATGCAATATAATATGTGAATGATTCCTACTAGATTTGAATGCGTATAGCGAGTACACCTAATTTCGATTGTTTTGTTATGGAAAAAAATAAAAATAAACGGTAAACAATAAACATTAAAGAGTTTTAGTTTTGTCATTATAATATAGGGTTAAAAACGATTCTTCCAAAAAAATAATTACACGTCATAAGAAATAAATGTTCAATTGTTACACGACCTTTAAAATAACAATAGAGTTAACATTGATTTTATCAAACACGTGTCAAGAGAAATTTCATATTTTAAAATTAATAACATTGTCTTTACAGTTAGGTTCTTGTTCTTATCTTTATTGCAAATTGTAGTTAAATTTGTATAAATTATGTATTATCAACGAACTGTTAATACTTATTGTATCAACTGAACGTAGGTACTATTAACATTGTACATTACTTAATATTTTTGTACTTTTCATTATCTAATATTCGTCATAATATTATTATTAGTATAGCACACGGTAGACAATTCTTTTTTCTACGCTTAGTATGGAATTGACATTGACTGACTGTTTTATACTTACTACCTAGATAGCTAGTAAGCTATATTTAAACTGTTACTCTTAATTCCAAAACTTGGTAGAATTGTTTTAAGTTCAGTAGGCTTGACAAAGTCAACATTTTTCATCCGGTCTAAGAAAATAGCGAAATTTTTTTCACTTTTATTTAGAATTATTTATGAAATTTCTCGAGCTATATAGTGCGTCTTCTGAACTTAAACTTATAGTCTAAAACCAAAATGATTTTTTGAATGCAGATTGTTTACTTCAAGAAATTTGATAAGTAGGTTTTCAATAATTTTTTCTAATAGTTTAGCAAAATTGAAAATCATTGACACGTAATTATTTATACCTGTCTAATTTCTCCCTTTGAATAGTGAGATTTAAATTTATCAAGGAGCGTATTTGAATCAATGCTCATATTATAAAATAAAAGTGGATCTATTTTTGTATAAATAGCAATTTAATAATAATAACGAACGGATTCCGTTACATTATCTTTTTAATTTTTTAATTTGACAATTCAAAAACCATATGCGATTATATATATACGAAAATCGTGTGTACGTTATGGATATTTTGAATTTTAATACTAAGTACAAATATAAATAACAAAATAACACTATTAAATTATATTAATATATTTTCTTGTATGCATTATTATATACGCGACTAGATAGTTTCATAGTTTATAAAGGTCACGTATATGGCATAATAATAACTTTATGAAACTTATTTTATAATGTTGTTCCAGTAGGTAAACATTTTTTTTTTTTTTTGTGTACATGCATTTTTCACTTACTGTATACAGAGTGATTCTTTTATCGTTGTTCATATGATATGATTATTCTTGAACATTTTCGAGTAAATGCGACATTGTTTGTTTTGCAAACATTTTAAAATATTATCGTATTTTATAACAAAAATAAGTACTTGTGTGTTTGTCATGCCATCACTAATATATAGTCCGAAATTCCAAGTCAATTAATACAAAAAAAATGAGGTCCCATATATTTTGGGCTTCCATTGATTACATGGCTATCTACATGTATGCACATTTAATTAACGGTACCTATTACACATAATATGGTCTTTAATAGTGGTACGGACCATAAGTACTACGGTACAGTGGAGATATCTGTATAGCACTAGCACGGCTCACGGTTTATGAAATGTTAACAAATTTTACCATTAATTGAATTATAACTATAAGTATCTATGTAGATATCTATATTAAGTATCAATGTTAGTAACGACTGAAAAAATTCGACACTTCTGTAGATAATCCGTGGTCGATGGTTCGTGATAAAATACTCACTCTGTATTGGGCCCGTACATTTCACGCCGAAACGCGTCGCATAATACCGTTGAAACAATAATTTTATAATACTATTAAAACAATAATTTAGGCATAACATTATATTATTTTCATATGCATGGTATGTATAAGTGTCGTTCTGAATAATATTTCTACGCACATGATGTTTATTCGGAGTAGGTATACCTATATACGAATATTATGTAGATGTAGTAGGTATAATACATGTACAAAAAAAAAAATATCACACCGCACTCGACACACGGCCAGCTTGTAAAATACTACAAGTATATGTTATGATAATAATATTTTACTACTGACTAAAGCTATTGTAACGGCTAGGTTATGAAAAATGTAGCGTTGTTCGAACTGCAAAACGCGCAATATCCAATATATTCGTATTTTAATATTATGCAGATATTAATATTACTCGTTAAAAAACATAAACGAACGCGTTATCCATATGTATCGATATGAATACATATATATATATATATTATGTATACAAATATATTTTTACACGCATAAAATAAAATAACGTTAGATACGTATGCGTAATAATATGATAAAATATTATTATTACAATGTATTGCTGATTAAGTATTAAACATTTTTCTCTCTCTTTCATTCTTCGTATGTGTTATCGCAGATCCAACACCGTCACTTAAATCGGCAAGACGCAAATCAGATTAGTTACGAAAGTTATGTGGATAACGAGAAATGTTCAATATACGTAAGATTTTTGGGAATAAAGTATACTCGTAATATATTTATTGCCATCGTATTACATCCTGTAAACTAAATCATATTTACCCAATATTTTAAATACTAATTTTGAAGCCATAATAGGGTTTTTTTTGAGAATATAATGTATTATAATTGATTTCAGTATGGTAGAATGGCGAACCAAAATTTTGAAATGAAGGGGGAGGAAATAACCAAAAAAATTATAAAAAGATGTCCATCATGAGGACATACCTCGCACCATGTGTGGATAACTATCGTAGATGAGAAGTTGGGGAGATAGAATATAGAGAAAAATTGTATTTATATCTGTACGAAACGATTAATCATTACTAACGAAAAACGATTCTAAGCGGTGTTCAGTCATATATGTTTTAAAAGGTCATACTATTTACGATTTTTATCAAAATTTAATATTAAAATTCGTATTTCAAATAATGAATTATAAATTGATAAATGATAATATGATAAAAAACGATTTATAGTAGAACCGCGTCAATCATATAGGCCTTACTCTACGATAATATGCTTGCATAAGGCTTATCTTATTATGATAACACCAACAAGTAATAACATGTCATCATAAATCAGGATCAAAGATCGCTATCCGTCGACCGTTTAGATAATTTGATTGAATGTCTGCATGTGAACAATTTTTCGGCCAAAAATATTGCTCAATACCAGTAGTGAATTATAGTAACAAATTTTGTTTAAATAGGGTAGTTGTGCAAGAGGTCAGTTTTGGTTTATCTTGTAGTTTTTCTAATATATTAAGAAAACTGGGAAATTCACGTAATTATTTGTTGTAAATGTTGTTCAAAAACAATCATAAAGACATGAAATTTTCATTTAATACTTTCTAGACGTGGTAAAGTTTCAAAAATATTCTGGTATTTTGTTTAGTTGTTTATAGTTATTAAAATCGTTGTATGTCTATTCGTTTTTATACATTTATGGTCCTTCACCGCACCACCACTTCCCTCCATCTGTCACTATCCGCGGCTATATCTTCGCCATTCAGGATTCTCATAATTTTTTTTACTAGTAAAAAAAAATAAATGTGTCATGTGATAATTTTTGTTGTTTTATTAACTTGTAAAGATGTTATTTTAAACGAACCACGTAAAATCACGAACTGTTCAACCGAGCTCCACTCGGAATCGTATTTTGTTTAGCAGTGATTTACATCGCCACGCCGTAATCAGGATAACGGTCTCTAATTTATTTACACATATTTGTCCGCTACTATAGTATAAAAATCATACCTAATATTTATGTCGAGAGATTATCTTTTGTCGAATATCTTGCGAAACATATTTCAATATTTGGTCTAAAAAGAATTTAAAAAATCGGCCATATGAATTACGATCAAACAGACTACTGAACATGTTACCTAACGATCCTAATTTAGTGGTTTTACTCAAGAGCCAGAGAATAAAGTGGGTCAGATACTTTATTGAAGAGCTGATGGTTAAATTATTATACGATAATTCACGATCAGTTAACGGAAACCAGATAAAGCATACGACCAAGAGCTTACAGACCTATAGGCAACGGTGGGATCGAGTCAAAAATGATTTAAAAATCTTAGCAATACTGGTTGAAGAAGACATAACATATTTAGAAAAGTATAGAGAGAGAGAGAGAGTGTGGAAGCGGTAATAGAATTAGTGTTTGATAAGTCACTAGAAAATAAAAAATATCTTTGGTCCCAGGGAAGAGAGCTTAAATCAATTTTCGGAATTTGTTTTTATAATTTTGTCTTATGAAAATTGTTTTATTTTTATTTTTGGTCTAAACTAAATGGACTAATTGACATTTGTATTTGTATTTTAAAAATTAAATTTGCTTGTATTGAAAACTATACAAAATTGACTTAAACCTGACTTCCCTGGAACCATGATTATATATTTATGTCGGTAAGAATTCAATGTTTCACGTTGTATATTATTCAAGTTGTACACGGCATAATTTACACGCATACCTTATAAATAATATTGTGTATGCAAGTTTTTGAAATTTATAATAAGATAACATTTCATTTTATGGAAATGCAGTATTTCCAGTAAGATAATAATTATGTAAGATGTCTTGACTTGTAACCATTTTCCGTTATAATGTTGCATAACAGAAAAACACGCACATGATTGTAAACAATCTGTATAATTGTATAATATTCTGAACAATGATAAACCGATATATTTCATATTGAATCTAGATAATGTATTTTTATATTTTTATCAGTTTTCTATTTCTATGTTATAATATTACCTACTTATAATTTATTACATAATAATATAATCTGAACATTCGAAACCATAAAAAATAATCGTTGATTCTATTTATAATAAATAAAATATCTTTTTTTCTCCCTGTTGTGGAACAGTTCAGAATATCAGATAATAATAATAATAATAATTAATAAGTACGATTAATTATTAGATTCGTTAAGTATGTTGACAGAACATTTCTTGACAGTAAATATACTGTATATGATAAATACAATAATAGAATAGATAGTATAATAATATGTCTATAATTTATAATATATTATAATCACTTTTTAAAAATATATTCGTGTATAGCAGTGCTGGCAAAGTTCCTTTTAAAAAGGAACTCGTCCATTTAAGCGTTCCTTTTAATTATTTATTTTTTATGGATGTTTAATGCGGTAAAATATAAATTCTTTATATTCTTTATTTGAAAATATCACTAATTAATTTGGTTCAATTCGCTTAATATACATATCTGGTAATAATTGTAAATAGATTCGAATTAAATCGTTTCTACAACAATTCACATAACTGTATGATATAATATACGGTTTTATTAAAGTAAATAAATGGAGGCGATTCGTTCAATACTGAGTTCACAGCAAAAAGTTGTTTTGCACATTTTAATTTTAAAAATAACCAATTATCTACTAACGATGATTTTTGTTCTACTACCTATCTAATACTTATGGTATACTAACGATTAAGCCAAGAAAAATGTCATATTTTAAAATTGGGGGAAGAGAAATGTACATGACTTTAAAGTATTTGTGCATTTTGACTAGGTATCCAATAATAATTATAAATGAATATAAGTTAGTTTTTATAACTAACGGCCAACCGGGAAAATCCCGGCGTCCCGGTGGGCCTATCCGCCCCTGAGGTTGTCTATCTATCTATAGATTTCATCCTCAGCTTCGAATATTGACGTGAGTAGAGCGAAGATGAAAGAATTTCGATATGTTTAAAGTTTGAACGCGACTTTCTAAAACTATGATAACTGTGATCCGGTAGCTGTGCGACTAAATGCAGCTCTGACGAGAAAATCAAACGGAATAAAAAACAAAATAATCTTTAGAGACTTTATGCATGGCTGCTCGCACTGTATTATTGCTGTGAAAATTTCCGTTGAATGGGCATATTATAATAATCTTTGCCGCTTATAAATTTATTAAAACTACCAAAAACCATGGGGCTTTTTTTTTTTTTTTTTTAGCGTCCTTTAAAACGAATATTATTATAATAATTATGTCTGGGAGGCGTACTCGATATGCCCAACTATAATATTACATAATATAATATGTTCTACGTAAGAATATCATTTTCTACAAAATGTAGGTGTATAATAATATTATTTTATTCACGACCGTTATTCTTGACACGTCGCGTTATTGACACCATTACGCACTCGTGCGTGCATTAAGTTTTCTCGTCCCTTGTTCGCTACGAACGGAAGCTCTTTTCCGTCGAACGTACCTATGTCTGTATAATATAATATGTGATACATGTTGTGTTAATATATATCATATAATCAAATAATTATACACTATCAAGTTAGATTTATACGATAAGAAGAGTGGACAGTGGTTGATTTAAAGTTTTAAGAAGAGGGGGCAAAGGGACCTGTTGAGTAAATTGTATTAAGGTTTTTCTAAACACGCGAATATGGCATTTGTAATAAACTCATTGTAAACGATACATCCGATACATTGTAATGAATTCTATGTGAATGACAATTTGTTGAACAATTTTTATTTTTTTTCTACTTAAAGTTTAAAAATTGTGGGTTGGTATTTGAAAATCAAAATTCGATAAAGGTCAATGTGTTAACGGTGTAAATGAGAAATTTTGAAAATATTGTAAGTAAATAAGAGCCATTGTATAACAACAATTATAATACAATATAACAATGCCTAACATTTTGAACACGTTTAAAAAATTCACCGGTGAGTAAACGATTTTCGCAAATTGCTTTATAGTTTATACGCATTATTTTACCTGATCTATGAACCTAACCTACCTACTATTTTTTCGAGTGGTTTTATTTTATTTTTCAGTTTTTCTTTATTTTGCCTTTGTACTTTAACCCGAATATTGAAATATTAGAACTTACAGACTTGTGAACAAGTCTTGTAGTATTTTGTAATCAGCATAGAATCAGAGAAGAAACAAATCAACCAAATGTAATTTTTTCAGAAAAAGTAAAAACAATTTTTTTTAATTGATTCATAAAAAAGATGTAAAATCTTCTTTACCCGATTCGGCAGTAGGAATTTAAAAGATGGATTCAAAAAACCAATTTTTTTAATCAATAAATCAAACTTTTTGTTCTAAATTTGCTGAAATATACAGAATGATTTAATTAGTGTGCTCACTCCAAATCTAATACTTAGAAAATCTAAGTATTCTGAAATATCTGCTTTAACAACAGTTAAAAATTCCAAAATTCAGAATTTGAATCCATGCAAAATTTAATCAAAAAAATGAAGTCAATCACCTTGTAATCTGTAAATATTTCATAACTAAATTACTAAACAAATATTATGAATTGTATTAAAAAGCCAAAAAGGAGGGGAGGTATTAACCTGTACTTTCTCCGCCTGCGTACGCCGCTGTTGATATATGTACCTAGTAGGTAAAAACAATAATAATAATAATTCAATTTATTAATTTAGATTTTTATTTTTCTATACGTGTATATTTAGAGCGACAAGGCCCAAGGAGAGTGTTCCAGTTGCGGACAAGGGGCGTGTACACATTCGTTATTGCACAATACATGTCCTTCGAAAACAGTATGTACTCGTATACTTATACTTAATTACAGAATTTTCTATTCTATTTAATATACATTATACATTATATAGACTTGTCTATAAAATACCTATATTATTAGTATATTTAGATTCCTGTTTTAGTCGAGCCATAGCTAAATACCCATTGTTATGATTGGCAACTGTTCGAAATGGTAAAAAGAACATGGATGCTAATATCCTACATAATTGTAGGTCAAATATTAACAGAGGTGATATTGGGAACGGATACGGTCACTCTTAGTGATGGGTAGTTGAGAAGATGGGATAATTTAATTAATATCTATATGCAATGATAACGAAAAACGACTCAGGGCCACAATTATATACAATTTATATTATATTAGCTGAATTAACCGGCACTATTTTCCGGGCTCAATCCTTTCAAAAACAACAATCAATAAAACAAATTAAATTTAACGTGTTTCGTCGTTTCCATCCACATCCCTATAACAGTTAATCGTTGTTTCCCGGTAATTTACCTTGTATAAAAAGTACTTCCTTGTCTGTGACAACCAAATTAAATAATAACAACTATTTTTTTGTTCATCCATGTGACCAAGGTAATCAATAAAAAAATAATTCAATTTTCGTTCTAAAAATACCGAATATACCGAATAACCTTTAAGCTATACCTGTAACTAGAGAATGTACTTCGAAAAATAAAGATAGGCAACATTTCAGTTTTATAAAATATTTAAGAAAAAGAAACTGAATATTTCGTTAATTGTTTTTATCTGAACGACCCAAATTGCCATACGAATAATAATAATAACGACTCGAATACCAAATATTATAATATAAGTTCTAGAATTTTACCAAACATTATTTTTAAAATATCCGCAATAAGTAAATTTTCAGACATTGTTCAAGTATAAATTATAAAAATATTAACTAATTTAAAAATTTTTTCCATAACAACAGCTAGGTAGTATATACAATTTGACAGAAAAGAGTGGTAGGCGTTAACTATAAACCCGAGTGCTCGGTGTAGAGACTCCTTTCAACTAAACCAGTAACAATTAACGTATTAAATGCACGGAAATATTATTCAAATCTAAAATCGCGAAGAGTGTAAAACGATGTTAAATCTGCAACGGGTCGTGTGGACGACTATCATGGATTTGGACGTTTTTGCGTGTCATAAAAGCACCTCCGTACTACATATCCTATTGGTATTGACAGTTGGGATTTTGGACTCGGTTCTATTTTGAATATATTGCTATTTCATGAATATAAATTTGACTGAGAATTATTATTTCCGATGAGACTGACTCCACGGTAATAGTATTACACCTCTTATATGTTTACGTTCACTATTCTACCTAAAAATCGCCAACGAAGCCCGACGAAATAAAAGCTTAACAAACAGAAAAGTCCAATTATTATAAAAAATGATCATGTAATCTATAATATCTGGATATTTTCCAATTAAATCAAACTCGAGTTGGGTCCGCGGTAAGAATATTATATTAAATACGATTTACGTATTTTAATACGAGAATAATATTTAATAATAATCGTTATTTCAATAAAAATCGTACAAATTACGTCATTTCAAGTACTATTTTTTCAATATACTTGAATATAATTCGTTGGCCAAACTTAAATATTTAAAAATTGAACACCATGTTATCATAAGTTGTATTTGGTATTTTGATGTAAAAAAAAAGTTGAGCATAAGGCTGACCTCGAGTTGGGTCCCGGTGGCATACATATTTCAACGTATACACGAGTTGGGTTCCCACATATTTATTTTATTATTATTTATATTGAAAACATTAGTCTAGACTCTAGACTATAAGAGTTACCCAGGAGAAACCACGTGGTTGACTAGAAAGTCTTTCAACAAATTTGATTTTTTCGTTACTTTACTCTTATACAATTTGTATAATTATATAATATTAAAATGATTACTATTATTATTAAAACTTTACTCATATAAAATTAAAAAATATTAAAATTACTATTATTATTAAATATTATTTTTCTATTAAAATACGTAAATCGTATTTAATATAATATTCTTACCGCGGACCCAACTCGAGTTTAATTTAAGCGATAAAATATCCAATGACCTAACTCGAATTTTCCCAAGTGTAATGTAGTAAACTTTTTATAAGTTTTTTCAAGATCATATTATGACAATAATCGTAAAAATGACGGGGCATTTCAAAACATGTTTAACTAAACAACGCTCAAAATCGTATTTCGTCAACAATGATTTATAGTTGGGTACAGTTCCCAACTTCCTATTTATAACAGAAGCACTCTCATCAACAATATCAATTCTTTTTTGTAAAAAAATTTTGTATAAATATTAGGTATACGTATTTAATAGGTAATTCTATAGCAGTCTTATTAAATTTGAATTGCATTTGCTCCCCTATATATTACCTAAATACGTATTTACGATTTCTTGTGAATTTAACACCGTGCAATCGCAAGTGAGATGTGAAGTATTCCGACCGGGACGATCATCGGTAGCCGCATAATATTTATTAATAAAACCAACATCAATATTGAAATAAAACGTCACGAAAATATTAGTGGGTTGTGCGGTTAATGGTATACAGTTTACAGTTTGCTGGATTTGTATAAAATCATCACTCTCATAATAAATCGTACGTCACCGCGCCTGGCGTTCCGAAATCGGCTGACACGCGACAGTTAATATAAATTGTGTAGCCGTGTAGGTATCTATACTATACATAATTATGAAATCGTAAATATATTGTACCATACGCGGTTATAACGTTTTATTTATGTGTTTAAGATTTTTCCTTTACAATTCTTCATGTAATAAATCAACAATTAATTTTTTATAACAGTGATTAAAAAAATCTATTAATTTACATTATATTAGTAGTTATTAATCAGGACAATAAGATAGTCGACATAACAGACCGATCGACCGAACAGAAATAACAAATATTTTTGTGAATAAATAAACTCATTAAAAAAAATATATACATTCATATTCCCCGACTAGTTTGATAATGATTAGGGATGTTATTTCACATTTTTTCATGGGATGCAAAACCAATATTGAAAATCTAAAGTAATACCAAAGTAGCTCGCATGGTCGAGTACCATATTATTACTTATATCATTAAACGTAAAACCATATAACATAAGATGCATAAAAAAAAAAAAAAAAAACAACTAAATTACATAATAGATTTTTATACATTTTTATAAACCCAATAATATAATTAATAAGTAATATATATATATATAAATAAAGGAAATTGTCTAGATTTTAATTTAGCAAAACTATCTACAGCTTCATTAAGATCTATTGCGTCAGCTTCTTCTTTTTCAGTTGCAATAACCATTAAATCACTTAAGCTGTTATCTCCCATAGTTAAGCGCAAGTAATTTTTTACTCTTTTCGTTGTCGAAAAAAAGCGTTCATTGGAAGCTGTACTAATAGGCGATGTTCAAATTATTATTAGTATTTTAAATGTTTCTACAAAAGCAGATGGAAGTTTAGATAAAATTTCTGTTAGTGTTATTATATAAGGATTAATTTCTTTTTCTTTAAGTGATGCTTAGATGGAAGAAAATTCAGAAAATAAATATGTAGAATTCACTTTAAAATGCCTATAATAAGACATTTTGTGATAAATCAAAAAAAAAATTACAAAATTATTGTTATTTGTTTTATACTACAATTCTATGAAATTTTCTACACAAAAAGTGTGTTAAAAAAAAATTCATGGGATGCATTTGTACACCCTTGCATCTCGCAAATGAAGCCACTGATGAGGATAGATTTTTGCCGTTTTGCTCGGCTATAATTGAATTTGATCCTATTGTGCGCCGCACACAAGACATTAGATACGTTTGTTTGGCCGTGTACCGCCTGCCTAAGGAGCTGTAATGGCTACTGCCATGGCTTCTCTGCGTGATCGCATGCTATATCTCTAGACAGAACATAATGGATTCATGCTGGATTCGAGAGTGGACCAATCGGAAAGCATCAAGGCGCCATGTTAGCATAAAACACGTTATTGGTGTATATTAGGCAGTTAATAAAATGAATTAACACGGAACGCCACCGGTGAGCCACATTTCTGAATCGGTTTCTTCTAACGGATTTCTGAAAAGTCAAGGTACCCTTGAAAACGTAATACCCCCCCCCCCCCCCCCGGTAAAATATCACGGGGATCAATTATCACTAGTACACTAGAAAGGATATTCAAATAGGTTTTTATATACATTTCGAACCGGATCTATGTTTTATAAGATGTTCGGATCGGACTGAACCGTGACAAATAGACTAACAGTATTAATTTTTGTCGATTTCAGGAAGAGCAAAATATCAGAAACAATGGCGACGGTGGAGGCGGTAGCGGCAACAAGCGCAAAATGCCGCCTCACCCGATACGGATCGCCAAGACCATCGACGTCATCGCTCGGATCACGTTTCCCACGGCGTACGCGGTGTTTCTGATATTCTTTTTCATCCATTACACCAGTCATCCAAGCCACTGGACCCAATAATTATAATCATAATAATAGAGACACGTACCTACGGACGGCTCGAGAAGCTCAACGTTTATATAGCAATATAATAATATTATAATAATTTAGTGTATAATAATGTATTATAAAACGGTCGTTACGATTTAGGAATATTATAACTAATTAATTTCAGGACACAGTGTGTCCGAATACCGCAGCACTTCGGACAACAGGGCGGCGGGTTTCGACGGAATATTCCACCAAAAATTCCGACGAAAAAAAGTCCCGTAGAAAAATTCCACAATTATATTATATTTTAATTGAAATAAACATATTTAAAAAAAATAAAAAAAACAGGTGTTACGAAGCAGATAAAGCTTAGTATTATATTGGGGTAGTTTAATTTATATATAAAACAATGACAAATCGCAATGCAAAAAAAAATATATATTCCGAGTGGAGAATGCAAGTGCATAGTAATTCATTACAGTCAGGCTTATAAACAATACGAATATTTACGTACAATTAATTTTGTTCCATTACAATAATCATTAACGTTCAGTAGAGACATTCATTTTTACTAAAATGATTAACTGTGTTCAAAAAAAAATAACATAGAATATAATATCAAATAGTTGTGTAGTATTTTTAAACGTGTTTTACCGTTTTCGTAAAAATATCCTTAATACTTACTTAACGATAAATACAATTCTAGTAAAAAATAAATTATATAATTTTACTGTAAGCAGTATTAGTAAATATTCAATCTGTTCGGTGTTGGTTTAATATGCGTAAATTATGATACATACTTTTCTTTTTTTTTGAATATGTTTTTATAAAAGTATTTAAATGTAGACATTTTTTTTACCATTGGACTTTTTTTCGTCGACATTTTCGATCCCGTTACAGCTAATATAATTTAATCGACCGTGGAATATGATATTATTTACCTACCTATCTAAATACGCAAAACGGATAAATGATGACAAAATAGATATACATTTTATAGATATGCAGGTATAATAGTGACAATATTCATAGAATGGTCAGCATCATTACTTATTTTGGTACTTTTTTCTATTATACTTGTAGACTATAAATTTAATCATATATTAATATAATATGAAGTTCTATATATTCCGCATTTTCATTCGCCTATTTGTTCGGGACATGTGTAAATTAACGACTAAATCGGAATAGGAAAAACTATGTACCAGAGAAAAAGACCGGGTAAGAATGAATTGGGGGGCTGGTGTTACACCAGTGGTATAATAACTATACTGCTACAGGGTATACAATGTGTGTGCAATGTGTTTATAATATCACACAATTGCAGAATCACTGTCAAAAAGTCCCATTAAGAGGACGTGATACCCATTTAGTATGTCATTTCTATTTAACAAATGCATGGCATAGGACAATTTGCGTTCAGCATGGATAATGAATTGACCCATCATCAAATTTAAATGCATAAGAACATTATCTGTATTTGTATGTCATTTTTTTCCTCGATATTTTAGTTATTAAACGAGATTCGAGTATGAAAAATATCAAAATTTAAAAATGCCGATATCTCCCTTAAAAATTAAAATATCAATAAAAACGGACGTTCAAACCTTTAAGTTTGATAATAAGTCAATTAATTTTAATATTAAAACTAACAGCACAAAATTGTCCCTGTTAAACGCAAATTTTCTATGTTGTGTGTTTGTAACACGAAGTTAGTACATAACGTGCATAGGACATACATTTTTGACGGTGAAAAATCCGTAAAATAAAATAATTATTTTACTATAGGTATTATGTAATAATTATTCTTTCGGCCGTTTTTTTTTCACTTTGTATTTTATAATAATAACTATAGTAGCCGAAACTTTTGAGAGTGAATCACTAAAAATTTCAAAAAAATCGAAAAAATCGCTTAAAAAATAATACCAAAACCGTATATCTTGTCTAACTATTATCAAAAAAAAATATATGCCCGGAACTTTTCTACCGTTTCATGAGTTGGTCAAGGGATCGATTAAATTAATTAATAACAAGAATGCATATGAATTGCATACCTAAAAACGAAAATATACGTCGTGATAACTGAATTGTGTCCGCGGTTTTTGCACAACACATCCGAGTTATTTTGCTAACTGTACCCAGTTGCGCAAAAATAATAATAGTTAGATATTCTAAAATATTTTCAGTGATATACTCGTAAATATTTGAGTATTAGGCCTATAACTAGATATACATTTTAGGGGGAGCTAAAATTATACCATGTGTACCTCACTCTCCCAAAGGGGATTTCGTCTCAACACCATCCAACGCATAAATTGCAAATCCATTAATAACATTTTTGTGTAATGCGTACAACTTACAAGTAAGCGAAAACATGAAAGTTGCGTATATAACAATTTAAAAAAAAAAAAAACCAAATTCCCAATTATTATATTAAGTATTTTGTTTACTAAACATAATTACTATATTCAAACCATTAGTAGTTATAAAATAAAATATTTAATAGCAAAAATATTCTAAAATGTAAAAAAAAATTATATTCATAAATCTAGTTTTTTTTTTTTTTATTGGGGCGTTATTATTAGAGAAATTATGTAACATTTGAATTCATATTTTATAATATTATTAAACAGATATATTATAATAATATAATATATCGTAGGTGTTATCATTTTCTGGGTTTTATGCAATACGAATTCATAATAGTTTCAGTGTTTCGCTGATTTAATGAATCTTTCACGTGGATTTATTACCAATATTTCAGTTCATTGTCTGTATAGTGCTTTTTGATGTGACACATTGGCCAACAATGGGTCACCCATATCTTTACCCATATTACTTGTATATTTTTTCTGTATGTTAAATTGTTAACGTCGGTTACATTGTGAGGGTGGCTTCTATCGCTTAAATGTATACCTGATATTTTTAAATTTTAACTTTGCAACAATATAATAATGAAAACAACAAACCCCTGGGAAAATCAAACGACCTCCTCGAAGTACCACTCAAGTCAAATTTCCGTTTAGAAAAGACACAACACTTGAAAATCGAAACAAAATTTCCGATAGAAAAGTTGTTCACGAAAAAAAAAAAAATATCAATACATACCTCGCTCCGTTCAGAATCTAAAATAAACAATTATGTTGTACTATTAATGAAAACAAATTTGCTTTTTACAAACGTGTAAACGTTAATGTTCAGTGGTGGTCGTTTTCAAACCTTTTATATACCTAAATGTTATAATTTACATTGCCTAATTAATTTACATATTTTTAACAACGACATTTGTATAGACGACAGTGTTCGTACTGTAAAAGTGGGAAAGATAATACATATACAATATAACTTCTCAATTATTAACGATGACGCAACTAGGAGAACAGCCGTGAGAAATCGCGGGCTCAACTCGGACCTGCCGTTGAGAGGCTGCGGACGCAATTCAGATGTGTCGTGAGGAAATCGCGAACGAAACTCGGACACAATATATCGTTTTTAGACGCAATTTGAATGCGGTGAATATTAGGTATTCGTTTCGATGTATATATTTTATATACTTCTTATTTCACACTTATTCGATTGTTCATTAAATTTACACGCGTTGTGTTATATTTTAATATAGCGATTTTTTCGTTTGTTTACTACTATACCTACTATTGATTTTATTGGTCCACAATAAGTATTTTTAATTATTTTTTTTTTTTTTATCGCCGTTAACGTTTGTGTCAAATGACCACGTACATTATCGACTCTGTTATAGTAGTTATAGTATAATTAGGTAGGTAGGTAAGTGGATAGTAGGTAGTAGGTAGGTAGGCATGTAGTTATTTCGATTCTAAGAATTCCCGTCCCCGTCAAATAATTCAGTTTACGGACGTTTTGCCCCTGGTAATTATATCAAGATTGGACGTTTGATCCCCGGGATTTATTAGTCACAGGACGTTTGAGTTTGGTTATAGTACGTTATAAAAACGAATCTATACATATTATGTAGGTAATAAATATTTGATAATATTACGATTGTACTAGACAGTCAGACAGGACGATACGTGCTGAGTTGAATTTCTATATTCTCCACACACTATACAAAGCAATATTTTGTAATATAGTACGTACTTAAGTTCGAATGTGAAGTTTTTAATTACAAAACGGAATAAAAATAAATAAATTTACAACAGTCTGTTATACTGCAAGCAAAAAAAAAAGTTCAATTAGGAAACCGCTAGGTTCACAAAAGCGTATAATATAACGAAACACAATTAACGACGAAATAACTTCAGTTTTGAAATTCGGAGCTCACAATTATGAAGATAATGCAAACTCAATACATGCAGAGAAAGCTGAATGTAGTATGAAGAACGCAGTAAAAAGAAATTACGATTTACCATCGAAATGCACGAAATGTGGTTAATTTATCGAACAAAGGGAAAAAATTGTTCCGAATGAAAGGTGTTTGCGGCGTGTTCGTAGCAATATTTATCCCATTTAATTTGAATTGTTAATTTATTGATTTAATTAATAAAATAGGTGCATACTGTAAAATGAGCATGTGTACCTTTTAATCGTGAGCGATTTTATTGGGTAATAAAATTCTCAATTGTAATAAAAAATATGAATAGATATGTAATAAGAAATTATAATTATTGAAATATTGTCATATTTTTTTACCAGTTTACTGTACCGAATTTCGGAAAACATACCGGTTTCATTTCCAATGGGACATCTCTAGTAATAGTATTATATCTTGAATTTAAACCAAACGTACTTTAATCAAAACACCCCGGAAACCGAATGTCCTATTTTAATAATTATTGCCAGGGACGAAACGTCTGTAAACTTAATATTGTTTGACGGGGACGAAACATCTATTTACCAGTTATTTCAAACGATAAGTAATAATTTATTAAGACGATTCGTAGTGATTTTCGTTTTTAATCGTGCCATATTTTTATGATTATTTCCATCTATATTATAAACAGTACCGTAACTAAAAGTTAGATAAAAAGATATTATTTGTGTGTTAGACGTTGGTTGGGGTGCAGCCATTCAAGCCAATTTTATGCAGTCCACGAACCGAAAAGCCTATACAAAAATACCGTTTACTATGTTCGGAAATAGCCAAAATATATTATAAAATACCGTTCAGCACATCGACAAATGTAGGACAAAATGGCATAATATCGATATAAAATCGAACTGTCTCATTTTTGACACAGGTAGTCATATTAGGTAGCTATATTAGTTATAGTAGGACATGTTTAGTATTTACGCGTTTTGTAAACGGCTGGTGCGGACTGCGACGAAACCCTGCACATACACTTGCTATATTTCTCAAAATTATTAACGGCTTAGTAATTATTATTAATATTAATAATATTATGCACATTAGTTATTAGTCCTAATATCAATATCCAAAAAAATTGAGGCGGGGAAAAATATACGTGCTTAGTAATAACCACAAATTAAGATAAACAGGATACGGAACGACAGTATATTATTGAAGACAAATTGTTGTTCCCGGTGTCATGTCGGTTTTAAATTATACAACTAGCTTTTCTCATGGCAAGCTATTCGTCAGATATTCGACTTTAGATCCATGTCAACATACAATATTATTGTACCAACCATTGTAACTAATGAGGATCTGTTATTTTGTAATTTGTCCACAAGAAATCATTTTATTAATTAATGACGCACACCTAATAACAATTGGAGAGTTTTTTTTTTTTAAATTTTATTCTTTTGGTTTTACTATGATGTGTTTTTGAATTTTTTGAAAATATCCGTGGATATATAATTTTGAAAGGAAACTAACATTTAGTTTTTAAACATTTTTAAAAACATTTGAACCATTTTTAAGCTATTTATAGACATAGATTTTAATTTTGTAGTTTTTACTTAATTTTTATTCGATAGGTAATCTATCGATAAAATTGTTAGACCGAACAGAAATGTTTTAAAATTGAAAAGGAAGTTTATCATAAGTCAAACTTTGAGGTTAAAAAAATAAAATTTAGTGTAATGTAGAATTTTTTTTTATAAGAATTTAATTATCAAATGTTTACGAAAATCGTAAATGTGATATTTACGCCTTTCAAAATATGTGTAGCTAAACTTCGCACAAAATCGTTTTTTGTGAACAATAATTTATCGTTGCTAATAGATATTAATTAAATAACTTTATGTATCCTACTTTCCCAACTTTCCACCTACAACAGTGGCACACAGGTCTCCAGTATCAGCTATTTTTATTTATATCATTAGTAACCTACATTGTTAAAAATAAGTACGTTGATTACTAGATTTTACTAATCAAACATAAAGTTCATTGTTTGTAAACAGGTTTTAACACATTTCCATACCTAACTTTCAAAAAATTAGCAACGGCAGAACTAAGAAGTAAATGATTTATTTATTTAATCATTTCACACATTTCGTTTATTATGCATATTATATTATTTTTTAGGACAAAACAAACCATCGTCAGTATTAGTACCCAATTTAACCACGATTCGGCCATAATTTGGCCGTTCGAGAAAATTTTGTCATCGACTGACAAGTTGTCTTTTCGTATCTCATATATCTTAATTTGTGGTAATAATTGCAAATACCTGTATCGAATTTGATTCTCGCTCCAGTAATAAGTATATTATTGTTTTTGCGACTAGAAATATACCGTGATTAATATCGTTTTCCCAGCTTTCTAATAGGGAGGAGGGTCAAAGAATTTAAATTACACATTAATAAAATATATTGAAGAGCTTTCTACGGACACACAATAAGTACTATCAAAGACCATAGTTAAAACCTGTACACAATATTTTACATATTGAGGGGGGGTTTATTAGTGTCCGATATTAGATATGATAGATCGATTAGTTATGATGATCCGTGAAAAGATAGCCATAAATAATCCAAGCGCGGGATAATCATATGAATATTAATAGAATAGATGAGACATACATTCCTGAACGCGACGGTTCTAACCAATATCAGCTATATGCATTTATAATAATTAATAATTTTTTTTATAATATACGTTATCTTTTATTAGTTAGGCGATTCTGTTGTTTTACCATCATATCAAATAATATAAACAAATCGCCCGATTCGGAACCAACTTTTTTTACAGATCTAGGAATGGTCTATTCATTATTTTATTATATGTGAGGATAACGTACAGAAGAGGAGGGGAACATGTCGAGCGCGTAATAACAAGCCTGTAGTAGGCACGGAAAGAATTAAACTAATTATTGGTTAGGTTAAAATAGGTACGGACAACGGCGGTAGTGGCAAAATAAAATATTAAAACAAAAAAAAAAAAAAGAAAAGAGGCGTGATTAAAGTACACCGAGTTCGCGGTGGGCATTGTGGGTTGGAAAGGTTTGAATGGCAGTGGTGGCAGCTATGTAAACACATGGCACGTGGCCCAAAACTATTCATGCTCCTAAAATGTTTTAATTTATAAATAAATATATTATATTTTTTTTACTGCATATTATATACATTTATACAGTATATTTTAATACTTTTTAGTGCATATAAATCCACGTTCTACTCTTATAACTATCATGTACGCGTAAAAATATAGTCTGTACGATTTATAGTAAACGTATATATTAAACCGCGATTATTTCCTACAACGACAGTACGGTACCTATAAGAAAAAAATACTTTTTTAACAACTTTTCGTCACATACCTATACTTACTTATAATATTTGTGTAACATGAATACAGCGTAATAATATTTACTCGTATGTTATAATGTATTCTGTAGTTGAATATCTAATCGCGTTTTTAAAAATAATAATTTGTATTTAGGTATTTAGTTTAAAAATAAATAATATAGATATTGTACTTATATATATTATCTATCGCTGAACATATTCATGTTATTACTATTCTTTTACATTCTTATTTTGTTTAATCAATTTGTCAATTCATCGGTATAATATTAGATTGTTCGATGTATGAAATGGACGGTTGTTCTGGTTGAAACATCACAGCCGGTGACGCCGGTTTCCGCTAATACCTTTTTCCATCGGTTATAAATTATGGTTTGGTAACCCATTTACCTAAATTAATTAAATAAAAATTAAATTTTCCAGTAAGTAAATGATATTATTTACATTTTTACACGCAATTTTTTTCAATTTGGATATTAAAAATAAAAATATTATTATTAAAACAAATTATTGAATTTACATTGTTTTGATAACAATATATCATTTTGATCTGAAAATGATTGTATTTACATATTTATTATTGTACCAATCTGAAAAAAATTGAAAAATAGTTGAAAATAATGCAATTTAAAATAAATTACTTATATATATATATATATTTAAATTTTTTATTCAAACCCCATTTAGCATAATGGTTTGATATCAATTTTATGAATTCGTATCTACTAATTTATGATGTGAATACTTTCGCATTACTTGATTTATTGATACACCGCAAACGTACTTTATTTACACCTTTAAATACATTGCGAATTTAAAATTATCAATTATAATTTCTGGATAGTCACGTTAACTACTAATTATTTTCGCGGACATGGCTGTAGCTTGTCTTAACAAAGCACTTCACTCAACGCACTGATCGTGAATATGAAAATAGTTCCGGAAAATCGAACAAATTTCTGATTAAATCTAGGTACATATACTAGGTTTATTATAGATGTATAAAAACCCACTATATATAATTTATATATATATTATGTATCTCAAAATGTAACTTGTTATTAACTGATAAATAAGGGCTATGATAAAATTATATTTAAAAAAAAAAAGAATATTATTAAATATCTAAATATTTAAGTAAAGGGACTCCCAAATGTTAAAATCCTTTTTTTTTTTTTTTTTTTTTGAACTGACGGAAAAAGGTATTGGCGAAAACGGAAAGGTCTTTTTTGGCGGAAAACGGCGACACCCATCACGGTGGCTTATCAATAATAATGTAACCTTAGGAGGCTCTCGAACAACTCGGAAACTAATCTCTTGGAAATATGAAATCTTAATTAAGACAATAAAAAAACGAAAAGCTCCTTCGCTTTTTACTCAAGCCACACTCAGAATTTAAAAACAAAAAAAATGTTATAATATTTACCAAAAATTAGGGTTACTACAGTATTTTATTTTCTATGCAAATTAGGAGTTCAAATATCATATAAATTAGTTTCAGTTATTTTATCATCCCATTTGTTTTGTTCTCCAAACAAAAAACGTCAGATTTTATTATTATATGATTTTTTCTAATCCATAACGTCTACTCGTTTTTAGCATTATAAATACATGGATTCATATTATTTTATTTAAATATAATATAGTCTGTACGATTTTCAATAACAATTATACATTTCTATTTTTATTAAGTCATTTTCAAAGTGACATACATTTTATTTTCAAAATAATATTAGTTTCCAGTTGATTAGATCCATCTATGGCATTCTCTACTATAACAGCACGTAAAAATAACAACTTAATATTATTAGTGTTACGATTTTTATCAATTTTTCAATCGTTGATATATTTTTATTCACCACAGATACTGTTTTTGATGTATACAGATTAGTGTACAGATTTCAGAAATCAGCCCCCTCAAAATTTTATTTTATATTCTGAGTGTAGCAAAAAAGCTGTTGGTTTTACTATAAAATATGTGTTTTTTCTCTGTTAATAAATCGTTGGTTCCAGGAAAAAAGGACTTAGGTAAATTTTGTATAGTTTTTAATACTAAAAATTGTATTTTATTTTAAAATACACAAGTACACTAATATATTAATACACTACAGACATTAATTTTGAAAATACATACACTTATGTAGTTCAGACGAACAAATATAGAGAATGAATTTCCAAAGACAAAATTATAAAAAAAAATTTCAAAAATGTACCTTAGGCGTTCTTCTCTGGGACTAAAGAAATATGCACTGATTTTTTTTCCGCTTAACGATACTTTATTTAAAACATTCGAAATTCTAAACATTTTTTTGTATAAAATGTATTTTTTATTTTTTCAGTAAAGTATAGGTAATGAAAATACTGCGAAATTTTGACGTAGTCCAAACCAATTAAAAGAAAACACCATCGACCAAATTTGCGTATAAGTCCATTAAATGACGTGTAATGTATTTTATTAAAAAAATGTTTATGTATATTAATATATATTTTCAATTAAGTATACCAATTATTTCTAATCCCGTCTATTTTCGAATTCTCGATATGCCACTAACCAACTGATAACGCCACCGACCAACTAGTGATGAAAATACGTAAACACAAATACACATTAAAACTGTCGTCGTACTCAATGGATACGTTTCGTTAGGTTATATATTTTATTTCTCAATTTGCTTTGAATTTATTAAATGAAAAATTTAAAATTTAAAAAAAAAAATCCAAATTAGTCAATATTTTTTAAGTACTATTACTTATTAAGTACATAATAAAATATTATTATCACTCAATTTTGTATAATTATTTTCTTAAAATTCTACTATATTTAAGTATAATACGATAGAGTGTATTATTATAGCTGGAAAAGTCGGGTAATTAATTTATAATAATTATTTATAACTTATATACATAAGTAATATAATATGTAATAAATAATTTTGTCATTTTTTTTTTTCTATTCACTTCTATACATATATAAAAAATAATAATAATAAACCACTAAAACGGAATAAAATAATATAATATGTAGGCATAATATAATATTAATATGTAATCGAACCCCAGTAAACATTTTTTGAATTACGATATTTATTACAATAATGATACAAAAATAATTTATATTTAACTGCGGATAATAATAATATATTATAGAAATGTTTTTTTTTTTTTTATATATATATATAGTTTAATTCTTCACAATAAACATAACATAATAATTATAATGGTTTATGTAAAAAAATATAATATAAGTATTATAATAATATATAAAATAATATGTTAATGTAATCATTTGTTGTATACCTAATATTAATGTCGTTTACACTATTTGTTATCGCTAATGTGTCGCATATTGATATTGGTACTGTCTATATTATATGTTAACGATGATGGTTGTAATTTATACTATCGCGGTAGTTGCAATGAACTATGATACTTGATAACTATTTGAATCGTAGTGTGAACAAGCCGATAGCGACTGTTGAACCGTGAACACTAGAGTCCACTTCAACTTAACCTAATCTAACCTATCATAAAAAAAACTATCACAATATCGTATGTATATTCGCTCCATATTTTACTGTCATGACGTACTTTTACAGACGTTTCTATAGAAATTCACACTACTATATATTTGGTTCTAGGGAAGGACTTAAGTCAATTTTTGGTATTTGTTTTCAGGATTTTATCGTATGTATTTATTTGTTTTCCTTTTTTTTTCAGTCTAAATGGCAAAAGTATTAGTGTAGGTATTCCAACGCATCATCTTTAGTCATTAATGATGTAGGTACTTTTTGTTTGACAAAAAAACATAATTCATTATTTTAAGACTTAAGCCATTTAAACCGTCATATTTATAGGTTAAACCATTTAGTAATTTTCAAGATTTAATTTTTAACATAGTTTTCAAATAGGTACCTATTTGAAAACTATAAGAAATTGAATCCCAAACATAGATGAATCAAAGGTATTTAAAAACTATCATATCATTTACTATAATAAATCATCATACATGGTCATATGGTTAATGTCTTTGTGAAAGGTTCTACCGCAATAGTTGCAACATCGAATATCCGATAAGCATAGATTTTTCTTAGTTTTTCGTTTTTTCTAAAAAATATGATAAAATCAATCGGATAATATGCTAATTTGTTGAAACAATTGGTTGCATTCCAACATTTAATTTAAGTATATTCATTCGTGTTCAAGATTTGACGGATACATAAATTTAAAATATTATTCAGACTTTTATTATTTTATTTTGAAAAGTTTGATTTATTTTTACTTGTGAAGTGAACAAGTCGAGAATCACAGTTAAACAATATAACGGAATTCTAATCGGACTTAAACATAATAATTTATGGTCGTTAGGTTTTTTCTCCAGTACATTTATTTATTATTATTGCGTACCATTTAAAATATTTTTATGGATTTAGATACATCGTCTATAATAAATGATGTGAAGAATAAGCACGCATGTTCGATTTTCAAACGAGCCGTGTCGTATTTGTAGTAACAATCATCTCCAATGTACACCGAAATCTTTTTAGAAATTTGAAGGTTTTCGTGCAAGATTATAGCTTATATACGTGTAGTCGAATTTCCGTCAGAAATAATAAATTCTCGATAATGGTTTATGATCAGTGCACCGACGGGGAAAAAAATAAACGCCCGTACAAGATAATAAAAAAAAAAAATTACCGCTGCGTAGGCATCTACGAAATTCATTTCAATACTCTGCCAAGCGATTACTACGTATTGTGTAGTATTGTATGATTACAATAATAACAATGCAACAAAACATATTCCGTTTTTACTAAATTCGTTTATTTTTTTCGATTTTTCTCAGAAAGTAGATGTTTCTTACTCGATATTTCTAATGACATTACGTTCGAACGCAGGTACATCGAACATAATGGGCTTCAATTGGAAAAAAAAAGGTTATAAAGAGAAGGTTTTTTTTTATCCTATACGTCTTGCCTCCCGACATTGACCTTAATAATTTACGATTTTTCTAGTTGTTGAAATAACCAAAAACGCCAAACTATGTAATTTGATAATGTTTAACGAATACCTATATAATACTATAGTGTGTTTTAACACCAATTTAATTTCACACTAATAATTTATAATATTATTAATGACAACGGTGATATAGATACAATTTTATATCGATGATTAGGCATTATTAATTTAATAAGTTAATTTAACTTATATTAATCAAACGGAAATAGGTGCCAATAGTTAATAATTATTATTGATATATATATAATATTTTGTTTATGGGACGTACCGTTTTTTTTTTTACATATTATTTAAGTAATTAAATACATTTCAAAAGATATAATATTAAAATTAAAATTTAACGTTCGTTTTATAGAAGAAAATGTATTATTTGCATTTAGATGAGTGAATTTATGTAGAAAAAGAAATAAAATATAACAAAATAAAACTAGATATTTGAGTTCAGTATACCGAAATGTTTTTTCACGGTACGTTTTTACAATATTATTATATTTGTCTGGAAAATTGTAGATATGTTTATCAATAAATCATCAACCACTATACCTGACTGCAGATTTAATCGTTCGGTTTATTATGTTGTACCAATTAAACCTACCGTTGAGTCTATTACAATATAAACAAATCCCGAAATAAGTTATGACATTCTATCCGGGAATCAGTGGCGTATTTATACGTCAAAAGGATAAAAAGGTACAATCACCTCAACCCCTCGACGGGCTATGTTGTACAGTCGTCAGCTGTAAAGCAAATATTTGCTAACGGTAGGCTCAACTTTATATACTTTTTTTTTTTTAATAGTTTTCATAAAAATTCAGTTGAGTCATAACGGGTCGGAGCCGAATGATTGCTTTTTTACTAATTTAACTCAACCCCTCCACGTCACTAATTGAAAAATCTTAAAATACGCCATTGGCGGGAATAAAGACTATTGTCTATTCATAATACCTAAATTATTCTGATGTACTCGTATAATTATTTTTTGAGCGTATAATATTTTATTTAATTTTGGGTATTTTTAAGCAGTCAAGCATATCAATTTACGCTGTGTTATTATTTTTAAAGCTGACTAATCGTATTGTTATTGTTGTTGTTGTTGTTGTTATTTTTGTTGTTGTTGATGTCCACCTCAAAGCGTGCGACGGAATCTTGGATGAAAAATTCAGCGTGAAAAAAGCCACGGACGAAAAATCCAATAAATGATAATTTATTATGATATCCATGCATATTCATTTTAATTTATACAGTTCAAAATATATTTTTAAACGTTTTAGTTATTTGATCTTGTTAACAGAATATTTATAATGAAACTGTCTTGAACGTAAATAATTGAAAAATATTAATTTTTGCTGATAGACCGATTTCTATAGTTTGGTAATGTTGTTAAAATAATGAATCAATCTAATTGTTATAGAATCATAGTAAATTGTGTATTCTTTTGTCAATAATAAACAATTTCCAATTGTTTGCACTCGTGATTTTTTAATTACGATTTTTCCCGTGGATTTCTTCTACTTTAGTCTTATGTTCCGCGTAACGTTGTATTAAAAGTATAATAGAATAATCTTACCGTTTACGAGGATTATCATGTTTTCTACAATATATTTTTAACTGCCTCCACAAGCCAAAAGCCAGTGACAAAATGTGAAAAATATTTTTCAATCGAAATATTTGTTATTTCAAGGCGCATTTTTTATTATCTTACGTGAAAATACTGTATAAATTCAATATATTTCATAATAAACGTGGTTAAACATTATACGAGTATAAATGTTTTATAAAGTACGAATGATGTAAATCAGCGTCGAACATTTTAAAAAATACAATAAATGATTACACTATACGGTAATTTTAAGTAATATTGGTTTGCATATGGTACTTTTTATTTAGTATTGATAATAATTTTGTGTTTTGAAGTAGGTAGGTATTTAATGGTATCATTAATGTTCATCCACTGACAAAAGTTATTTCTCTCAAAACTGGTTACAATAATATTACTCACTGTTTTTTGGCTAAAAAGAGCAGTAATATAATATATTATTATAACAGTTATAATAACATTATATTATTATGTTAATTTATTAAAATAGTCACTGTGTTTGCCATTTTCAATTATAATTTACCTAACTAACGTTGTTAAAATATTATATTTATTGTTTTTTTTTTTTTTTTATATATTTTTTCTGCAATGTTCTATCAATATTATCGTAAAATTCATTGTTTTAGAAAATAAATTCTTAGGAACTTATTTAATATTATACATGTAATAATTATAACATAATCATATACTTGTATAAAATATTGTGTTAAATTTATACACAATATTATATCGCAGTCGGTGTAAATTATTATACAATAGTATTGCAATAATATCGGTAATATTTAATAATTAAATATTATTGCCCTGGAATAATATTTTATCGAACGATTTATACTATAATATTAAGAGTTGTAATCACGCCATCATTTGTTGCCTCTGTCTTAAACAGACGCACGACACAAACGACAAACCAAATTAACGTTCGACAGATCCAATTTTGTACTGTATGTTTTACTATTGAAATGAAAATTTACCTATTATCCAACTAAAAAGGCCGCTCCTAAAACATTTTTTGTAAAAACTATATAAAATACAATTTTTTGTACCTTCAATAATAAGTTTGAATGTTTTAAAAATATTGCAAAACGCTGACGAGGTTGTTCTCAAAATGTTGTCATCCACACATTTTGGAATTGATGTTTTTGTCTCTAAAACCGATTGTAAAGGCTTTTTCGTCTGTTTTATGTAAACACATTTTTTCTATTTTGCCCATTAGAAAGATAGAAATGGGTGTATTTACCTCTATGTAAAGGTATTTGAGTATTTTAATTTTTAAATTGCTGATATTTCACGTCTACTCATATTTCGCTTGAAAATTAAAATGTCGAAAAAAGTAAGTCGATTCACTCTAAAAACTATAAAAACTAACAGCGCAAATTTGGTTGTACAGAACGAAAATTTGTTATATCCTTTGTAAGAAAACAATAAATAAGTACATTTTGTGCCGTCAATAATAAAGCTTGTCTACGATATTTTTTTCAATACATTAACATTGGTAGACGTGTATAGATAATAATTTTTTTTTATACAACACCTATGAAATACTTTAATGTACCTGCCTTTAGATGTACATCATCATTGTATAAGCATTGAAAGTTATTATTTTTTAAGCATAATATAATATAGATAATATGGTGAGGTACATAATATAATTGTAGTTATTCGGATTTCTTGTTGTTTTACTTTTCTTATTTATAGTGTTAAAGTATTTTTGTGGCATTTGTTATTTTGTACACAGTAAGTCGTATAATATTTTTCTTGTACCTATATTATAATAACAATAAAAACATTTTATGTACTCGTATTATATTATTATAAAATATTTAAATACAGCAATATCGTTGTATTCATTTGCTTCTTGTTACTATGATGAGGGGGGCTTCTGTATCCCCCGCAAAACTAAGCAAACAAGCGTCTGCGACCGCACCGTGACACTGTGACGGTTTTCATTGTTTTTGTCATGTTTATACGGTTTATTCCTTTTAATAATTCGCCGCTGATAGAGTCGTTCTTTTTGTTGTTCAAGTTGTTCTTCGATATTTAAAGTAGTTTTCGTAATAATTGGAAAAAACCAAAAAAATTAAAATTGGTCAATATTTAAGGCAACGTAGCGCCCAGGTTTAATTATTTTAATATGATTATTTTGTGTTATCTACTAGAAATATTACTCCAATCCAAAAATGACGAAAGATCGATTTTTACCTTTTAATATTTCATCACTGATCAGGTAAGTAGTTTTTTTTTATATCTAAAGTATTTTTCTTTATAATTGGGAAAAACTAAAAAAGACGAAGTATACGATTTTTTTTTTTTTTTTTAAATTACGACAACGATTTCATTATTTTATATTTTTACAGCTTATGTTTTCTACCATAAATATTGCTCCAATAAATAATGACAGAGAATCTTTTTTGTTGAATATTAAATCTAGTTAATGGCTAAGATAGTCGTTTAGTGATTTTTTTAGTAGTTTTTTCAATAATTCAGCAAAACCGAAAAATACGTAGAATGGACGAGATAGTAAATTTACGAAAACAATTCTTTTACTATCTTAAATTTTGTATTTTTAATGTATTTTTAATTCAACCTTTTATTTTCCTAATTTAAAAATTAGTATTTTTTATCTGAGTGCACACAGGTGTTAAATGTTAATTAATTTAATTTATTTATCTTAATTAAATTGTAATTGCCGTCCAACAACTCAAGTTTCACATGAGGTTATCCATAAGTATACACCCTAGCGTTCCAACACCGTGGGCAGGTAATATAATTATATCTTTCTTTAGTTATTCATTTCGTCACCATTCTCGGATTCACGACTCCGAAACCATTTCAAAAATAGGAAGGAAGGTAGTAATATAACTAGTAGACTGAACTTTTATTATGATTAGATATAAATCATACTTTGTAGTACCAAAACTTAGATCGATTGTTTCACACTATATAGGCACATTTTTACACCTACTCCTTTATATTTCATTCTTTGTAGGTATTTCTACGTGATTATCCTATAATTTCAAATATATGTGTCTTCTATTTCTATACTCAGTGTCCTAAGTCTACTACTATGCCCCAAACCACGAATCTCTTTATATTTCCCCCCGTTTAAACCTCTTTTAACTCTTCTTATTTGTTCCCGTTTTTATTTTTCCTATTTTTTGTATTACTATAATCTGAATCAAACTAATGTATACAATCTAATTTCAAGTTTTAAAAATCATAAAATATCAACAAATAACCTACACCTACAGCATAATGTGAATGAACTTAATATATTTAACTTAACTAACTTGTGAGTAAACAACGTGTTAACTAAAAAGAACTAATGGCACATTGCTGTATGTTATATGTATTTAACAGCAACTATAACAGAAAAAAAAAATATATATATATTTCAAAAGTACAGTAGAAAAACGTAAAAAAATAAAAAAAATAATAATTGAAAAACAATGTAGTCGAATTGTGCCAGTAAATGTGACAAGTAGAAAAACGTAAGAAAAAAACAAATAAAAAAAAATAAAAAAATCAATAATTGAAAAACAATGTAGTCGAATTGTGCCAGTAAATGTGACAAGTAGAAAAACGTAAGAAAAAAACAAATAAAAAAAATAAAAAAATCAATAATTAAAAAACGCCGTAGTTGAATTGTGCCAGTAATTGTGAACGGTAAAAAAACGTAAAAAAAAAGAACAATTATAAAAAGAAAAAAATCAATAACTGAAAAACACTGTAGTCGAATTGTGCCGATCACAAATATAATTATCCTCGAATTTGATCCTCGTGTAGCACAGTTTCTTAGCGATCGCCACGCACTGAAAACAAATACACGAACCGTCTTATTGTCTCGATTTAGAAAAACGAATTGCACATAATATTATACAAATAATTTAAGACAAACAGTATACCGACCTCGGACTTGTCGACCGTTCGCGGAAGATGTAGTGCCAGCTTCGGCGCCATCGCTCTTGCAATAAGAACGATGGCTTCGCCGCCCCCGTGAGCCTCGCACGGGATTGACGGACTGTACACATCCCGGCTGAGGTACTCAGGGCCGCCCCACGGGGGCGACGTGACGACTACGTCTNTCAGGGCAAACGGAATAGAAGCTTTCTGTAAAACAATGAAACGTTAAACGAATAATAATATTAAACGAACGAGACACGGAACGCGATCAATTATTATTAGACGGCGAATATAGGTACCGTGATCCAACAGTATACCGGCGTCAAACCGCGTATAAAGGAGATATCGCTGAACCCAATACTTTCTAATCCGATTCAGCTCCGAGTCCGTGGTCTTACCGAAAACAAAAATAAAACAAATTTTTATCAAACACATTTCGTCGCGAGTATTGTAATTACGCGATCTACAAGTGTATTCAAGTATAATTTACCTCGGTACAATCTCCGCAGAACCGTTTGACGTCCGCGGTGTACTTTCGAGCTTCTACTCTGTTAAAGTTTGTTCGTTTTGCTGAAATAATATAGTGCATTCAAATGGATTATAACCAAATGCGTGTGTGTGTGTGTTTTTTTTTTTTCAAATTAATAAGTTACAGAAAAATTACGTAGTCTCGGTGGTTGTACTATATATTTTTATAAGAATTGAATTATTACCGAATTACATATTATTTCAACGCAATAAATTATATGTATGATATTTTACTTACCGTTGGAGGTCAAATACTTCCGACTGGATACCTCAACAAACGCAGGGTTCTGAAATAAAATTCCACAGTTATTTTAAACGATTAGTCATGTTTCGGCGATTTAAAACGATAATAATTTGTACTTACAACCATGTCGTCTTGTAGAAAACAGTACTCGACGTTACTGGCACCGAGATCTTCCTGTACAATAAACTCGTGGACGTCCAACACGTTTTCCTTAGCAACGTCAACAACGTCTTCTTGCAGAAATATATAGTCATTTTCAGAGGACTCGGAGTTATGGCACAACGAGTGGTCTTGGTCGCCGACCGTCAGATCCCCCACACCATCCACCACCGGGGGGATTTCGGAAACTTTGACCTTGACAACTGCGGTGTCCTTTTCTGCCAAATCCGATGTCGTCGTGTTTTGCAAAATTGTTCTGTAATTAAATTCAAAACTCTTACAATCATTTCTAACACACTAAAAATATCGTTATTATAATACCATCGAACTTTTGAACAAGAGTGGTGATATTAGGTTTACGGGCAACGGACTTGCCGGTGACAAATATCGTATTATGCCGGTGGATTATTTTACGACAACCGAATTTAATGATAAAACACAGTAAGAGTATGTAATTCAGTGCCCCCAATATCCCTCTCCCCTCTTCCCCCAACCCGGGAATCGCAAGTGGAAAACGGAAATTCAAACAACAGGAATAAAAATACAGTCGGTTGTCTAGTTTTAACCGTATACGCGTATAGTTTGGTTACAGAACGGCCGAATTTATACTCGCCGCTCGTCAGCGATTAACGTCGCGTATTATAGGGAACGCGAACTATTATAATCCGAATGAAATCTCGCAGCCGCGATATATTTTCACCGGAGATTTTACTAATGAAACGACCGGTTAACGGCGACTTTATTCGCCGACGAGCAGCGATGATGAGTACGGAGCAAGTAAATAATTAAATAATTTTTCGGATACGCGCGCGTACCTGGTTATCGGCCGATCGGTCACCATTCTGTTGATGTTGACTGCCATGGATGATATCATTATGATGCGCGGTTTGAATATTATCACAAAGGAAAGGTAAATGCTGTAATCGTGTATTTTACAAAATCAAAAAAAATTTCTAGTATCGTCAAAAGCACCGCAATGATATTTACCCGGTTGCCGGGAGCTCGTAAATTTTTCCGGCGAACGTAACCACGGAGCAACAGTTGATTTGTTTACGTGTTCAATAAGCATTGCTAACCNGGCCGATCGGTGTACCTGGTTATCGGCCGATCGGTCACCATTCTGTTGATGTTGACTGCCATGGATGATATCATTATGATGCGCGGTTTGATAATTATCACAGAGGAAAGGTAAATGCTGCAATCGTGTTTCTTACAAAATCAAAAAAATTTCTAGTATCGTCAAAAGCACCGCAATGATATTTACCCGGTTGGCGGGCGCTCGTAAATTTTTCCGGCGAACGTAACCACGGAGCAACAGTTGATTTGTTTACGTGTTCAATAAGCATTTCTAACCAGCTATAAATCTCGTGTTGTTTTCGTTCAAACAGTCGTCACTGCGGCAACGGCGATAATTTTCCATCGTATCGACGAAGGTTCAGCGAGTCCCGGACCGGATGTCGGATCCCGGGCCCTCTTTACACGCGGGCGTTAAAGTTCGGCAAGGGCCATCGATGTTCGCCCCTGACCGGTACGACCGTCCAGCTTCTATCACGGCTTCTACCGGTGGTTTACTACTGGTCGGGCCGAAATATCTGCGCGATGACCCTGCCCGTCTGGACGGTCGCGGGCCTTAGTGACCTCGCGGATTTATCCGCGCGGCACGCCGACACATGCAAATTCTCGCCTAGCGACGAGTGTCGGGGCCTCCGTTCCGGGGTTGCTCACGGCGGGAAAACCGGGACTACGGGCCTCTTTCTCTGCTCGGCCAGTTCGTGGTGCTTGTCGCGTCCCGGCCGTAGGGCCGTCCCGTGTTCTCGGCTACCCCTGGCAACGGGGATTGCGTTGACAACGGTGGATCGGGAGTCGCGTGGCGGCCCGCTCGGTGCCGAACCTGCAGCCGGTGCCGCTGCTGTGGGATTCGGCTGAGCTTATGAGCGACGAAGTGGATGGCCGTGAGAGGGCCGGAGGAAATCCACCCGACGGCGTGCGTTCCGCGCGCATTTGGAATGGCGAATCGAGGAGCGGGTCCGCGCTTCGATGTGCAGAACGTATCCGTGAATCCGGGGAAAGCTCAGGGGGACCGTTCACCTCCGTGGTCGCCAGACGAGGTTTCTCGAATCATACACATCTCGAAGTGAATTTTTCCGCCACTTCGACTTCGAGTTATCGCGAAACGACTGTAATAATAATAATAATCGCTTTGACAAATTGAAAATCACGACTACACACGAATAATTCAAAATATTTATAGCAAAAACAATCACATTTTAGGTTTATGGAGGCAAGGAACTATTTCATTTCCCGTGCCGAGTAAATAAATCGAAAATAATATAATACAAAATACAACTGTAGACTATCGACTCAAAAAGTATTCTATATACGAAATAATACACAATAGGTACTACTCGATATTATTAACAATTTAACTATAACACTCGAGTAGCTATAGGCAATCGGAAGTATTGTATTTAATCGTAACACATTAAAACACCTGCAATGACGTTTAATATTGGCCTGTGCAAATGTAACACTTGCACCACCGCATTTTAAAATTTGTGCAGACTACAGACATATTATAATTTCTATTTTAAAAAGTAAACATTCGTTTATTAGATCGAACCAAATTGTATTTTATTACCTAAAGTAAGTGAATTTTATTTTTGTTTTTTTATTTTTCAATTACTATAGAATCGAGTAATCTTTATTATTTTAATATTATTTCACGTTACGAATTTGAAAAATTTCAATATATTTGTGATATTTATAGGTTGAGGTGGGTGGGGGAATTAAATCAATGATTTAAGGTGAAAATACTTCACGCCGCTACTGATTGATACTGATTACTGTTTAAGAGTCACAGATTTATAACAGTTTAAAAACTAGACCGGCGAAATAGGAAAGGGTAATGAACTTCGCATAGTACCTAAGAACAATAATAAACGATTGTAAAAGAAATTATAAGCGAGTTTTGGCGGCAAGCCGGACGGGTGAGTCGGCCGGCGTGGCATAACGCCGTATTCTGCATTTTATACGTTCAATTTTTAAAACTATTACGCCGCTGAACCTAAAAATAATTTATCCTCATAAATTGGAAAGTACGCGGAACTCCAGACGGAACCTGATTTTTTATCAAAAGCCAACTTGAAACGCGGTTATGACGAAATTTTATAAAGAATCGCGCGTGATTTCCGACGTTTTCACCGCGCGTTGGGCGTCTTTATTAAAATAATCATTTCCGAACAAAATAATCGTACCTATTTGGTCGGGGGAAAATTGGTTTGTTTGCAATGTCGTTCGGCGTTAATACGGGCTGCGGGTCGAGTCGCCGGCCGGCCGGCCGATAAAAACCGGTTATCGCTTACGAGCTGTCGAAGGGTGGAGGACCGCCGTCAAAAGGCGGACGCCAACGCGATGTTGACGAGCGGACGAGACTGTGCGTTTTCACTGCGCATGCGTCCCACTATTTTTTTTTTTTTCATACGGCCGCCGTACAGTGTCGATCACCCGCGAACTCGACAGCCGTCAGTACTCAGTTCTTTCATTAACTCGCCGGTCGTACGTTCTCGGCCGTCTTCCTACTCTCTCTCCCGTTTGCCGGTCTCCACTCCATGTCTTTCACCGTTTCGAGCGGCCGTCCGCAGCGTTGCGCCACGAGGCGCTTCGGCGCGTTTCATACGATCATTTTTCTTAAATTATTTCTCCAACCGTAATTATTATTGTTTGTATTAACATTGAATAACTAATGACTTCTCGCCGCCGTTCAATTATCCTGCTGCACGTAAGTAACAAAACAGTTAACAGTTTTTTTTATTGATAGTGGGGGGGGGAGAGCGGGGTTATAAGTAAAAAAACGGGACAGTAAGAAATTTTAAATTTATTTAACTTGCTTGATATCTATTATATCTATTTTTTTTTTTTTTTATGAATGTGTTATTATAATCAGTCATACTTATAATTATTTATCTGTAAATAATGTTGTACAATTTTTCATTTTTTAAAAGAAATTCTCTTGTTGCTCCAAATAATTGTTTTATTACCTCCCAGTGGGGTAATTAGAAATAAATATTTATTTCTGCTATACAAGGCCTTATGAAGTTTTCAGGGGTAATATCAAAAAGCTTATATTAAGTTTAGTAATTTTTTTTTTTTTTTTTTAAGATATTAAAAACAAAACATTTAATATACATCAAAATTAAATTTGTTACAGAATTGATTAACTTACCTTTTGTAAGCTTATGCAGCTTGTGTTGGAGATAAGGAGCTATGATTATTACTAAATTTAAATATATTATAAATAAGAACATAGTGTAAATATATTTTAATTTCAAAAAAAAAAAATTTAATACATCTTGAAACAACTCAAAAAATATATAAACCAGCTTATTTTCTAAATAACAATGTTAAAGGCAAATAAATAAATAAAAAATAATGAAATAAAATTGGTTTATATTACCGTATATCCTTGTCTAATTCAAAGAATAAATATTTGTATATTAGATCTTTAATATTTACAATTTCACTACCAAGTATTTTTTTTTTAAGTCATAGGGCATAAAGTTGAAATATGTTGGACCCTGATAGTCTACAAAACGCTGACCAAAATAAGTATTCACATATTTAACAGTCAAATCATATTTTTTCATTTCCCTTTTGTTGCTTACCTCTTTTCGATCATTATTTAAATTAAATTTGTTTAACCAAATACATTATTGCAATTTTTTTTTATCTAAAAACCTTATAGGCAATACACCAAATTTTTTATAGTTAGCGTTTGTAGATCCTTGCAGAGTAAATTTATTTAGCAAAATCCTAACTATATTATTTTGATTAATTACTAATGCTTTTAAGATGTTATCTCGAAGGCCTCCCCATACTAATATGCCATATTGAAAGTTTGATTGATAGTGCAAAGTAAACTATTTCTATTGTTTGTTTTGGTACTAAGTTTTTAAGTTTAGCCATTTTAAAAGTAATGAAACGTAGCTTCCCTAATAAATTGTTTATATGAAAATTCCATCTAAAGTTAATATCAAATATAACACTTAAGTATCAAATTTTTTCAATTATTTTAATCATTATGCAGTTTTGTGGATTACAAATTTTTTTTTTTTTATGCAGTCATGAATTGCTAAGGTGTTGTAGTTAAAAGATGTTTTATTAATAGAGAATGACATAAAAACAGTTTCATCAACATTTAAAGATAGATTTCTAACATTTAAACTTTTTATTATCAGACTGAAACCTCTGCAGGCTTTCTCATAAACACAATCCCATGATTTATGAGAGAATAGAAGACAAGTGCCATCAGTATAGGTAACTATTTCCCCATCAAAATTAATATCACAAATTTTGTTAACAAATAATATAAATAAATAGTATCTGACCCAATACACTACCTTGTGGTACAACATTATTTTTAATTGCATATATGCTACCATTTACTCCATTGGTTTTAACTGTCTGCCTTCTATTATGTAAGTAACTTTTAAACCAGTTTAGGCTCAAGTTATTAATTCCAAAACTCTGTAACATATTTAATAAAATTGCATGGTTCACAAAATCAAAAGCCTTAGCTAGATCTAAAAAAATTGCTATTAATTTATTGCTGTTATCTAAATTGTTATATAAAAATTGAGCAACTTTATAAAAAACATTATCAGTGCTTAAACCTGGTCCAAAACCAAACTGGTTTTCTGATAATAATTTAAATTTTTCTAAAAATTCTATCAACCTAGCTTTGATAATTTTTTCAAGTATTTTTGAAAAATTGCTTAACATGGATATCAGCCTATAATTGTTCATACTTGATGTATTACCACCTTTAAATAAGGGTTTAACATCTGCTACTTTTAAGGTTTCAGGAAAAATATTTTGAACAATACTTAAGTTAGATATATAGGCAAGAGTATGCACCACAAATTTATTAATACGTTTTAAAATTTTAACGGGTACCTTATCCAAACCTGCAGCTGTATCATCTTTAAAGCTATTAATAATATTAAGTAAGTCCGACGATTCAATTTTTTTTAGAAACACATCATTAAATGAAACGTTTTTATGAACATGGTTTATTCCTGAAATGATTGGTTTATTTCAACTATTCTTTGCGATATTTATAAAGAAACTATTTAACTTATTGGATGCAGATATTGGATCATTTTTTGCATTTATTTCACAGTCATTATTTTTTTTTAGTTTTTTAGTTTAATAATATCATCATTTGAACTCAATTTAGAACCGGTAATTTCACTTATTAATTTTCATATCATTTTGGACATTTTTTGGATTAGAACTTACATGTCTGAAGTTTTGTTCATAAAAATTAAATTTAGTTTTCAGACTATTTTAGTTTGCATGTTACCCAGCATCCGATCCATCATTTCATCAATGACCCTCAGCACACCTAGAATTCCAACTCTAGCGCTGGGTCTGAACTAGCATTATAGTTTTTGTGGTTATTCTTGTATTTTTTATAGTGCAAAGCTAACGATAAATTATTTGGATTTTTTTGCATTTCATTGAGAGAAACTGTTTTCGGTGGGCTGTGGTTAATAAACCATTAGCCAACCATTCTTTTAAGCGTTTATTTTTGGATTTTAATAATATACGAGTTGTAGATTTATCAATTGTTTTTTAAATTATTTTATCAAAGACATCATAACAGTGATCAACATCGCTGTATATATCACTATATATTAATATATATAGTATGTATCTATAATTTCGTTTTTTTTAACTAATACATTGTATTTTTAATTAAACATTGATAATTTGTTTGCTATAAGTAGTAAAATTATAACTATCCAAATAATATTACTTTATGATGAGTTTTTAATGTTAGAACTTCCCTCACATATACAAAAGTGTTGTAAAGGTGTCCATTTGTTTCTTATTACTATTTTAACCATCAAAAGCTTTTTCCTAGTAGGGTCTCTGAAAAAATGTTTCATTAAATACTCTTTTTTGTCTGAATTTGAACTTAAAAGTTAGTTAGCAATGTTGTAACAGTCACACGCATTTCTTTTTCTACATTAAGTTTTGACCGATATTTTGATTTTAATACAGTAACTGCAGAAAATCCTACTTACATAAATACAATTTTCAAATGGTAGTAATACACACAAAGCTTTGTTTAGATAGCTGATATAATGATGGGAATGCATGTAAAAAAAAACAGTTATGGAAGCCACCCGCCCTGTTCTCTCGGTGGCCGGATCTTAATAATTTTCCGTTGTCAAATATTTTGTAGCCAATTGATCTATGCGTGTAATAACAGATCATATGATGATAATCAATAAAGCAATTATTATAAATTACCTTATGTATACCTTTTTTAAAACATGAAAGTTGCTGTAACTGACAGCCGATATATCCTAAATCATTAGCACATTAGTCATTGTTAAAATTTTGCTTATAAATTAGGCGCTTTATTCATTTATTAATTGAATATATACATTGAAAATCCAAGAAAAATAGTTCACTCGTTGTTGAATACAACCATAATCTGATCTGAACAATTTTTATACTTCTGAAAATTAATGGAATTGTATTATGTTGTAAAAAAAAAAAAAAAAATATGAAATAATAATTTAAAATGAGTATATAATTCTTATCGGTCAAGAGGGAAAAAAAAAATATAAAGTATTTACGAGGAACTGCTTAAATCTTGACATTGAAAATAATAAGTTTGGTCCTTAAAGAGAAGTCATTGTTATTGTAATTTGGTAGATCACGTAACGTTGTAATATATGAAAATATAATATATTGTGTATTTTATGACTTGATGATCGATAGTTTATCAATTGGTCATTAAGTTTTCTGTGATTTAGTTGATTTTTCATAATATTGTTCATTACTAGTGTTGTGTTAATATTTTTTGTGAGTACATCCATATTCTTTTTTTTTTTAATATGCATATTGAATCATGCTATAAACATAATTTATATTTAAAAACCAGATATTTTTTTTATAGATTATCTTCTGCTTCTAACATCACTGTATCAAAAATGCCCGTGACTATTGTAAGAGAGAGTTAGCACTTGATAAATACTAGTCTATAATCCATATTTTTTGTATTAAAAAACTATTTTACGCGAGAAAGCATACACATTAACATAAAACTCCAAAGGAGATGAAAACTATTTTAAAACAAACAGGAAACGATCACATATCTTGGCCATTTGTCATTCAGTGCTTGTTTGCTTTTCCTTTATTTCATTATAACCTACCTTTTTGTATGTTACCTAAACACTTCCATATTATTAGTTTATTATGTTTACTTAATGCTAACTATATACAAAATTACTGTTACATAATGTTTTTATTACATTTTATTATACAATCAAACTTAATAATACATTTTTTTTTATTATTTTGAGGAAAATATAATACATTTTTTATTAAATAAAGATCTTTGGAAAATAGTGAATTCGAATTATAATTTTATTATTCAATACATTCAGTTTAAATAATAAGTTATAATAAAACGAAAAAAAAAATACAAATACAATTATCATAATAATGAACAGGTTCGATCGTAACTATTTGTTTTCATTTTTCTTGAAAAATAGTATACACTAGTGAATTAATGAACCTCTGGCGCAACTTAATTGTTCGTAAGTTAACACATAAGCCTCTGACATGACGTAAAGTCTGTAAGCTTAAATAAATAAATATCAACTAGTAATTACTATCTCATAAAAAAGTCTGTGTGCAAATAAATCTTTATTGTTTGCATAGTGTACTAATAAGAATTAATTTACATAATAGAGATTATCTTTCGTAACCTGTTCTGATAAATTAAGATTTTGTTTAAGAATTTTATCAATAAACTTATCAAATTCCAGGGTATTATAAATCCATAAATCTATCAATCTATTATTTAATATTGAATGTAATGTTAATCAAATTATTTAAATCAATTGATTAAAAGAAATATATCTATCTAAGTTGTTAAAATCAATATAAAATTATTTACCTTTTTTTTTTTGTTTCTAAAAAAAATTAAAACTATTTGAACTAATATCAGTTATAAATTGATTCTATTACTTTTCCATTAAACCATATTCATAGTTGTACAATGGACGTCTATAATGTCTTTTTTAGTTTTTCTTGCTTCTTTGCTAAATATATTTTTTATCTCCTTTGTTTTTATGTTTCTTGTAGCTGCTGAACAAGTAGTATCTATATATTTTTGTGTAAGATTAAGAGATTTTTTGAATGCTAAACATTTCGCTATTTGTAATACCCAAGATCCGCGGTCAAGGGTATTTTATGATGTTAGTTAGTTATCCCAATTTTGGTTATCTTAGTCTAGTTACTTGATGATGTGCCAATCGCGAAAAATTAGATATTAAACAATAGTGTTTTTTCCCCTCCAATCCGTCGATCAGTAGTAAATCGTAATGATTTTCCAATTCTTTATCGCAAACTTTAAACAGGACGATTATACTTTTTTGGGGGGTTGTTTTCGAATGTTTACTCTTGAGTAGTATGAAAAGGGCGGTTCTAGGCCAGAATCGGGATCACTAACCTAACCTAACGAAAAATAATAATAATAATAATAATAATAACAATAATAATAATTTACCGGTATCGGTATGTAGTAATTCAAAAATAAGGCGGGGGGTGCCTAGTTATGTAAATTTGATTCACACGTATAAGTTAACTTTAAATTTGATTACCTTTCTTCTTCAGGCGGCAAATTGATCTGTTGAATTTCATATAGGTGACCGTAGTAAATAAAAAGATTTCAATATAATAACTGTTTCTATTTTATTAATTTTTTAAATATAAAATACTGTTCTAGGTTCCCGTGCTTTTGTAATAATCTCTGCGTAGTCTTTTACACTCACTTGTGATCATCTGTCTAAAAGCAACGGGAACAATACATACTCTGTGTGTTTATTGGAAGTGGCCGGCCTCCTTATAACTGGAGAAATATGTGTGTGTGCGTGTGTAAATGTGTTATCTTAATTTGGTTAATACTCACAACTTAATCTAATAATTAATGGCTACAAATTAATATAAATATTTTACAATATTGACTATATAATTTATTTTAATTATATATGATATCTTAAGTATTANAAAAAAAGAATGGCATCGGATGTAAATGTTTAACTATAATTTCCGTTGTTAATTGTTTGACTTATAATATTTTATTTTACATAATGTATGATAGCTTACATAGCATATCATTACATCCACCCCAGTCTCTTTTTTGTTATGCCCTCATAACAATGCATATTATTTATAAAGAAATCAATGTATAATATTAAATTGTAGTATTAATAAGGGGAGAGAGTAAAATGAATATAATATAAAAGGGGGGTCCGTATGCATGTGATGTGTGGTGGATGCTTATTTTATATTGAAGTTCTTCGAAGATCTGGATATAATTGTGGAGTAGGGTGTTTTTCTTCCGTTGTCTTGTTGGTCATAGTAGTAGAAACAGCCCCGTATCTGTTCTATTTCTCTTTGTGCATTAGATAATGCGTTATGTTTTAGAAAATGCCCGCTATTAATTTAATGCTCCAACCAAATGTGTTGTAAAGGATAGATATATTCAGTATGGTGTTGATAGTCATTAGAGAAACTTTGCCTATCACAAAGATTCCTGAGAGGCTGAATGCGACATGTCCTATCCCAAATCTTTGTAATTCAGAATGGACCATATTACTTATTGTTTGTTCGCTTATAATATTCCTAGTATCAAATCCTTGATTTATTACTTCATGACCAATTGTCTGTCTTATTAGATTTTTCTGGGCCGTTTCAGTTTGATGCGGGTACATGAGGTGTTTTAGTAGTGCATTGATTATTTCCGGAATGTAAATTCCGACCGTCATGAAATTATCTGCATTTTCGTAAAACCAGGATAGTGTGGTAGCTGGTTTCAATTTTTGAGGAGGATATTATATTTCCTAGAGGTGTGTAGTACACTCTATGTTGATGGAAATAAAACATGTTTGAAAATATACGGGGTGTGTTTCTGCTTTCTGTAATAGTTTTATTCTTCAATTACCTTCAACTTTTAAGTGTGATGGAAAAGAACAATTTATTTCGTTTGAGTAACCCGAATTTATTATTTTTACGACTAAACGATTATTAACTTTGACACAACGTAATAAAGTTTCCGTAATGTTAAACAAAGTAAATACTTGTTTTAAAAAAAAAAAAAAATATAACACTAATAAAAACGGAGAAGTATAAAATAAATGTGAGTGGTGAGAGAGTGGTGCTGCTTCAAAAGATCGTTGATTTTTATACCTATTTCCACTATTTCCCCCATAAAATGATTTACCACGTTAGGTTCGTCTTCTGTACAACGATAAATTATTGGAGCCGTCGGGATATCGAACTCCTCCAATAACTCTGTTGGGACGTTATCCGAGGCTTTCACCACAAACCCATAGCTCATGGGTTTGTGGTGATGAATTACTGTGGTATTCATCCCCCGCTTATCATCGCCCGGTTCCAAAATCGCTTTGAAATCGGTATAGATAACGAATGGGTGGCGCTGTGTTTTGCTCCAAGCAAAGATAAATTATAAAAAATTCCTTTCTTCCATCAAACCAGCATTAATCGATCTTCTTAAAAAATCCTCTCAAAATAACCCCATAAAATTTAATCTTAAACTGGAAGCCACCTATTATAAACCACAAATACAGAATTCAGCCGAGAATAGAGATTTTAAGACCTCAGGCAGGTCAATATTTTTTGACAGCGAGATTGAGGACTTAGTTGAAGAAAAATTCAGTAAATTGTTAAAAGAGGAGAAAACGTACCAAGGACGGGTGAGTGGCTTTTCGGTACAGAGTATAGACGGTCTTCTATTAGGTGTATATAAATATACACCGATGGGAGGCTCTTCATATATTCCGCTACCTGTAGTAATTCAAA